ATATCAGTCAGACGGAAAGCATGTAGTTTACTGTAGTATAGTCATGTTTCTTGACATACGGACAGTGTCTTATATCAGTCAGACGGAAAGCATGTAGTTACCTGTAGTATAGTCATGTTTTTTGATAGATGGACAGTGTCTTATATCAGTCAGACGGAAAGCATGTAGTTTACTGTAGTATAGTCATGTTTCTTGACATACGGACAATGTCTTATATCAGTCAGACGGAAAGCATGTAGTTTACTGTAGTATAGTCATGTTTCTTGACATACGGACAGTGTCTTATATCAGTCAGACGGAAAGCATGTAGTTTACTGTAGTATAGTCATGTTTCTTGACATACGGACAATGTCTTATATCAGTCAGACGGAAAGCATGTAGTTAATTGTAGTATAGTCATGTTTCTTGACATGCGGACAGTGTCTTACATCAGTCAGACGGAAAGCATGTAGTTTACTGTAGTATAGTCATGTTTCTTGACATACGGACAGTGTCTTACATCAGTCAGACGGAAAGCATGTAGTTTACTGTAGTATAGTCATGTTTCTTGACATACGGACAGTGTCTTATATCAGTCAGACGGAAAGCATGTAGTTACCTGTAGTATAGTCATGTTTTTTGATAGATGGACAGTGTCTTATATCAGTCAGACGGAAAGCATGTAGTTAACTGTAGTATAGTCATGTTTCTTGACATACGGACAATGTCTTATATCAGACAGACGGAAAGCATGTAGTTTACTGTAGTATAGTCATGTTTCTTGACATACGGACAGTGTCTTATATCAGACAGACGGAAAGCATGTAGTTTACTGTAGTATAGTCATGTTTCTTGATAGATGGACAATGTCTTATATCAGTCAGACGGAAAGCATGTAGTTAATTGTAGTATAGTCATGTTTCTTGACATACGGACAGTGTCTTACATCAGTCAGACGGAAAGCATGTAGTTTACTGTAGTATAGTCATGTTTCTTGACATACGGACAGTGTCGTACATCAGTCAGACGGAAAGCATGTAGTTTACTGTAGTATACTCATGTTTCTTGACATACGGACAGTGTCTTACATCAGACAGACGGAAAGCATGTAGTTTACTGTAGTATAGTCATGTTTCTTGACATACGGACAATGTCTTATATTAGCAAGAGCATGAATGTAAATGCATATATAAACATAACTGGCAACTATTTCTCATGAAAGTGTTTCAGTAATTGCATTGGCCATTTTTCTCTCAAATTTGCAATACAGCTGTTCTTTCTAGGAATATAGTGCTCCACTTGAACAATATCTTTAATCCGTCTTAAAAATACACCGAAGTTAATCGTCTTTATAATAGTATCAGTACCAACGCTGTCTGAATGGTAAATATTTTATAATGAGCGCTTTTGAAGATAGATAGAATGAAGTTCAAGTGTTTTAAACCCAAAATTAGAAATGATCGATGTTTAATGTATAAATTCCCAAAATAATTAATGTTGTAAACTATTCTTTGGTCGCTACAGTTCATATTTCAAATACAACATTTGAATAATGGATTATAACGGATGTTATCCCCCATAAACAATATGTAAATCGATATTGATTTCAAGTATCCTTTCAATTCACATATTCCAGTAGAAAAAAGTAACTGTGCTTCAGATAAAGTGGTGTAAATGTTATGATACTGAACATGATTTTCGGTTTTTCGTCTGTTCAATGTTTTATCATAACACATTCATTGACAAGACCCAGTAAACAGTACGGTACTCCCTAAAGGAGATGTGGTGTAACAACTCAATCAACAATGTCAATACCGACTGTGACTAATGTGTACATTGATACAGCGGGATAGCGGCGGAGCATTGAAGACACCATATGATTGAAAACAGCCTTGCTGGCTCTGGTCATACCTTAGACATCAACCCGTCTCATCCCAGATGTGTTGTCTGGAGGAGTGGCATTGAGAAACAGCCGGCCATGCTAGTACAGTAATGCTATGCTGCCTCAAAAAGTCTGCTGCGGGCATTATCCTGCGGGCATTATCCTGCGGCAACATGACTTTACGTCCCTGCACAAAGCGTAGAAGGTAATCTCGAACGATGTCATCCGGGTCGCGTTCCCCATAAAAAAAGTTGTGTTCTCCCATGATTTGTGTTCTCCCATCAGTTGTGTTCTCCCATGAGTTGTGTTCTCCCATGAGCTGTGTTCTCCCATGAGCTGTGTTCTCCCATGTGCTGTGTTCTCCCATGGGTTGTGTTCTCCCATGAGCTGTGTTCTCCCATGAGCTGTGTTCTCCCATGAGTTGTGTTCTCCCATGAGCTGTGTTCTCCCATGGGTTGTGTTCTCCCATGTATTGTGTTCTCCCATGAACTGTGTTCTCCCATGGGTTGTGTTCTCCCATGTATTGTGTTCTCCCATGAGTTGTGTTCTCCCATGAGATGTGTTCTCTCATGAGTTGTGTTCTCCAATGAGTTGTGTTTTCCCATGAGCTGTGTTCTCCCATGAGCTGTGTTCTCCCATGAGCTGTGTTCTCCCATGAGCTGTGTTCTCCCATGAGTTGTGTTCTCCCATGTATTGTGATCTCCCATGACCTGTGTTCTCCCATGGGTTGTGTTCTCCCATGTATTGTGTTCTCCCATGAGTTGTGTTCTCCCATGAGATGTGTTCTCTCATGAGTTGTGTTCTCCCATGTATTGTGTTCTCCCATGAGCTGTGTTGTCCCATGAGCTGTGTTCTCCCATGAGCTGTGTTCTCCCATGAGTTGTGTTCTCCCATGTATTGTGTTCTCCCATGAGTTGTGTTCTCCCATGAGCTGTGTTCTCCCATGTATTGTGTTCTCCCATGAGTTGTGTTCTCCCATGAACTGTGTTCTCCCATGGGTTGTGTTCTCCCATGTATTGTGTTCTCCCATGAGTTGTGTTCTCCCATGAGATGTGTTCTCTCATGAGTTGTGTTCTCCCATGTATTGTGTTCTCCCATGAGCTGTGTTGTCCCATGAGCTGTGTTCTCCCATGAGCTGTGTTCTCCCATGAGTTGTGTTCTCCCATGTATTGTGTTCTCCCATGAGTTGTGTTCTCCCATGAGCTGTGTTCTCCCATGAGTTGTGTTCTCCCATGAGTTGTGTTCTCCCATGAGTTGTGTTCTCCCATGTATTGTGTTCTCCCATGAGTTGTGTTCTCCCATGAGTTGTGTTCTCCAATGGGTTGTGTTCTCCCATGAGTTGTGTTCTCCCATGAGTTGTGTTCTCCCATGAGCTGTGTTCTCCCATGAGCTGTGTTCTCCCATGAGCTGTGTTCTCCCATGAGTTGTGTTCTCCCATGAGCTGGGTTCTCCCATGTATTGTGTTCTCCCATGAGTTGTGTTCTGCCATGAGTTGTGTTGTCCCATGAGCTGTGTTCTTCCATGAGCTGTGTTCTCCCATGAGCTGTGTTCTCCCATGAGCTGTGTTCTCCCATGAGGTGTGTTCTCCCATGTATTGTGTTCTCCCATGAGTTGTGTTCTTCCATGAGCTGTGTTCTCCCATGAGCTGTGTTCTCCCATGTATTGTGTTCTCCCATGAGTTGTGTTCTCCCATGAGCTGTGTTCTGCCATGAGTTGTGTTCTCCCATGAGCTGTGTTCTCCCATGTATTGTGTTCTCCCATGAGCTGTGTTCTCCCATGAGTTGTGTTCTCCCATGAGCTGTGTTCTCCCAAGAGTTGTGTTCTCCCATGAGTTGTGTTGTCCCATGAGTTGTGTTCTCCCATGAGCTGTGTTCTCCCATGAGTTGTGTTCTCCCATGAGTTGTGTTCTCCCATGAGTTGTGTTCTCCCATGAGTTGTGTTGTCCCATGAGTTGTGTTCTCCCATGAGCTGTGTTGTCCCATGAGTTGTGTTCTCCCATGTATTGTGTTCTCCCATGAGTTGTGTTCTCCCATGAGTTTTGTTGTCCCATGAGCTGTGTTCTTCCATGGGTTGTGTTCTCCCATGAGTTGTGTTCTCCCATGAGTTGTGTTCTCCCATGAGCTGTGTTCTCCCATGAGCTGTGTTCTCCCATGAGTTGAGTTCATCCATGAGTTGTGTTCTCCCATGAGTTGTGTTATCCCATGAGTTGTGTTCTCCCATGAGCTGTGTTCTCCCATGAGTTGTGTTCTCCCATGAGTTGTGTTCTCTCATAAGTTGTGTTCTCCCATGAGCTGTGTTCTCCCATGAGCTGTGTTCTCCCATGAGCTGTGTTCTCCAATGAGTTGTGTTCTCCCATGAGTTGTGTTCTCCCATGAGTTGTGTTCTCCCATGAGCTGTGTTGCTGCCACCATTTTACTTCCATCCACAAACTGCCGACGTTGAGTAATGCAGACGTAACTGAAACGTTCTACTGGATGCCTGTGGACCCTTGTCCAGATGAAACCAGGGCTCATCTGTGAACAATATACAATAAAAGTCTCGTCTAGTGAACCTCAGATTCTGTCTACATCAATCTTGGCGCGCCTGACGGAAGCACACATGGACGTCGAGGCCGGGGATTGTGCTACCTCAACTGGCTGCATACAGATCTGCCACTAATTGTTCCTAACTGAGAAACTGTCCTAGTTGATACTATGGCAGTTTGGTATCAATTTCATAAATGCACCAACCGAATGTGGTTGTCTTGTTGACGTCACATGTGAACGACTGGCCCGTAGCCAGTCACGAGTGTTGTCCTGCCATTGCGTAACCTATATTCATAACAAATGTTATTTGTCTGACCTGATCGCCAAACAATCATTATGTGCTGTTCACATTAACGCAAACACGTGCAGAAGCATTATGCTCACAATAACATGCAAACATCCAAATAGTGCGTCGTGACTGAACATGCACGTGCAAATTGTGTATGGCAATTTTAGAGTTAAGATGTCTTCATGAAAATGCAATATTTAACTTCTGAATAAATGTTGTTTTATTTAAATTCATATTAAGCACAGCTACTTCTTTTCATTAGTATCATTAAATGGCCTATGAAACACTTGAGCAGTTAAAAATGCCTTATTTCAAAGTAGGACACTCAAACAGGAAATGAATATTCTAACGGTGAAAGACTTAAGGGCCCGACCATCTGATATTCTGTAGGATGGGGGTGTTGGATGGGGGTGTTGGGTGGGGGTGTTGGGTGGGGGTGTTGGATGGGGGTGTTGGGTGGAGGTGTTGGATGGGGGTGTTGGATGGGGGTGTTGGGTGGGGGTGTTGGGTGGAGGTGTTGGATGGGGGTGTTGGATGGGGGTGTTGGGTGGGGGTGTTGGATGGGGGTGTTGGGTGGAGGTGTTGGATGGGGGTGTTGGATGGGGGTGTTGGATGGGGATGTTGGGTGGGGGTGTTGGATGGGGGTGTTGGGTGGGGGTGTTGGATGGGGGTGTTGGGTGGAGGTGTTGGATGGGGGTGTTGGATGGGGGTGTTGGGTGGGGGTGTTGGATGGGGGTGTTGGGTGGGGGTGTTGGATGGGGGTGTTGGGTGGGGGTGTTGGATGGGGGTGTTGGGTGGGGGTGTTGGATGGGGGTGTTGGGTGGGGGTGTTGGATGGGGGTGTTGGATGGGGGTGTTGGGTGGGGGTGTTGGATGGGGGTGTTGGATGGGGGTGTTGGGTGGGGGTGTTGGGTGGGGGTGTTGGATGGGGGTGTTGGGTGGGGGTGTTGGATGGGGGTGTTGGGTGGGGGTGTTGGATGGGGGTGTTGGATGGGGATGTTGGGCGGGGGACTGGGAGTTTGTATGGGGACAATATATTTTCTCAGCCACAGCTGCAAAATAGATATTTTTAAAATTAAACTATGTTCCAAAAATGGGGGTGTTGGATGGGGGTGTTGGGTGGGGGTGTTGGATGGGGGTGTTGGGTGGGGGTGTTGGATGGGGGTGTTGGGTGGAGGTGTTGGATGGGGGTGTTGGATGGGGGTGTTGGGTGGGGGTGTTGGATGGAGGTGTTGGATGGGGGTGTTGGATGGGGGTGTTGGGTGGGGGTGTTGGATGGGGGTGTTGGGTGGAGGTGTTGGATGGGGGTGTTGGATGGGGGTGTTGGATGGGGGTGTTGGGTGGGGGTGTTGGATGGGGGTGTTGGGTGGGGGTGTTGGATGGGGGTGTTGGGTGGAGGTGTTGGATGGGGGTGTTGGATGGGGGTGTTGGGTGGGGGTGTTGGATGGGGGTGTTGGGTGGGGGTGTTGGATGGGGGTGTTGGGTGGGGGTGTTGGATGGGGGTGTTGGGTGGGGGTGTTGGATGGGGGTGTTGGGTGGGGGTGTTGGATGGGGGTGTTGGATGGGGGTGTTGGGTGGGGGTGTTGGATGGGGGTGTTGGATGGGGGTGTTGGGTGGGGGTGTTGGGTGGGGGTGTTGGATGGGGGTGTTGGGTGGGGGTGTTGGATGGGGGTGTTGGGTGGGGGTGTTGGATGGGGGTGTTGGGTGGGGGTGTTGGATGGGGGTGTTGGATGGGGGTGTTGGATGGGGGTGTTGGGTGGGGGTGTTGGGTGGGGGTGTTGGATGGGGGTGTTGGGTGGAGGTGTTGGATGGGGGTGTTGGATGGGGGTGTTGGGTGGGGGTGTTGGATGGGGGTGTTGGGTGGGGGTGTTGGATGGGGGTGTTGGGTGGAGGTGTTGGATGGGGGTGTTGGGTGGGGGTGTTGGATGGGGGTGTTGGATGGGGGTGTTGGATGGGGATGTTGGGCGGGGGACTGGGAGTTTGTATGGGGACAATATATTTTCTCAGCCACAGCTGCAAAATAGATATTTTTAAAATTAAACTATGTTCCAAAAATTCCTCGATGTCCAGATTTCATCAAATATATCTACAAGCGTCTCTGAACATGAATATTATCAGCTCCCGTTGTCGTATCGAGAGCTTGACCTGGGGCAGTATTTATCTCGTGGATCTTCACCATTTTGAGAAGTAAAATCAACCCTCCTCTTTTCCTGTTGTTTCTGAGACATATGAAACTTAGGAACAAAGTTCGAAGACGAAGAATGTTTGGATGACGTTTCGCCAAATTAACTTGCAATTTCCAATTTATCTCTAAAGAAATGGTCACAACTCCGTGAAATGGTTGAAACTAGATTTTGACCCTATGCCTTTAAGTTTTGCAATCATGTTCTACATCTTGGATATTCGCTACAAGAATTAATATCAGAGTTTTCAAATTTGTTGATTCCATTCAGCTTATTCGAACAGTTGAATAGGATCTGTAATATTCCTTATCATATTGTTAACCTATTATTCCTGAAATGAAGGCCAGTTTACTTTAGTATAATCCACCTTGGTGTGGGTGGAACATCAGATATATTATTTGCCGTATGGATTTGAAGGAAAATGGACGCTCCCACACAAGTTATCATAAACCGACCAGGTAAATTCGTTTAATAAATAAGAATTTGTTAATGACTGATCTAAAGTGGATAAGGTCGCCTGATCTACGTGGACTATCGATAGATGTTTCAATCGGCTATATCAACGACATTTTAGACATGGATGGAGATTTGGACAACAAAAGATCCCACGTCCACGATCCAGTAGCACTGTTGCTGTCACTGTCCCGTCAAATATTTCAACATCCATGTTTAATGTTTCTTAGAGTATCCAGGCTGGAATGTCTGGCTTATATCAAATTGGTAAAAGTATTGTGGTTACCAACAGCTTCTTTCGCAACTGAAGTTTGAAATTCGCAGGGCCTGCTCTAGATCATAGTTGATTCTATTTGAATGCAGGGGTGTTGGCATGTTACTGATCCTGGATCAATCAATGTTATGTCATTTTCCGGTTACTTTGCACAAGTACGTCTCATGCCAACATACCCAAAAGTGTTCGGTTATCGGTTATCGTGCCTCCACCCCCGCCCTCCTGTTGGAGCAGACCGCCTCCGTGGTCTTGTGGTAGAGCGTCCGCCACGAGAGCGGAAGGTCCAGGGTTCGATCCCGGGCCGCGTCATACAAAAAGACGTTAAAAGATTGTACTTGTTGTTACCCTGTCTGGCGCTCTGCATTAAGGGGCTAAAACAAGGACTGGTCGGCTCGGAGTCAGTATACTGTGTCTGAGTGGGGTATTCATGTTAAACTGCGGCATGGTATCTCACTGAGCTAGCACTATAAATCGGCATCAGCATCAGTCCGGACTAGTACAAGCAGCCACACACACAAATACACGTGCACGAACGTCGCTATATAAGTGCAATAATCTTGGACGCGACGTTAAACCCCATTTCACCTCACCTGTTGGAGCATGTAGATGAAGCAAGTCACTAATTGTTGAACGCATCGCCTCACACCATCACTGGTTTGTCCAGCCCAGAATCGATTATTTATTGTCCTGTGACATCATCAGACATCGACCAACTCGAATACAGTTGCCAACATATTGGTGGAGTGCGTTTGATTTCACAACGTTAATGGGGAGTCACTTGTTTTAAATCCACAGTGAAGATCTGGGTTAGAATTGGTCTTCAGCAATCCGTGTTTGCCCCCTGAAAAGATCCGGCTCAGAATTGGAATTCACCAATCCATGCTTGTCTCCCCCGTGAAGGTCCGTGCTAGAACTTGTCATGAGCAACCAGTGCTTGTCTCCGTGAAGATCTTGGTTAGAATTGATCTTCAATAACCCATGCTTGTCTCCCCTCTTAAGATTCGGGTTAAAATTGTTCCAAAGCAACCCATGTTTGTCACCCTCCGCGAAGATCCGGGTTGGAATTGGTTTTCAGCAACCCATGATATGCTTGTCCTAAGAGAGGGCTAACGGGGTCGCGAAGCCCTGGTCAGGCACGCTGACTTGGTTGATGGATGTCATCGTATGCCAATGGATTAGATCACTTACCGGGTTGTCTGGTCCATGCTCGATTATTTACAGGCCACCGTCCTACAGGTGGAATACTGCCGAGTGCGGCGTTAAACAACGAACAAAAATATTAAGTGAACATGAAACATATATGTGTTCCATTTACTGACCTCTTTTACATGTACTTCCGACTGCATTGTGTTGTTGCTCGTGGACATTGTAGTGTACATAGCCGCAATGCTATGACAAGACAGGACATGATCCAGCTCGACACATATTTGTTGACTAATCATTTGTGGTAGGTGCAATATACTAAACAACATTATCATGTATATGTACTTTTACTTTTTGTGTCAAACCGGCGAGTCCAGGTTCGAATAGGTCCCCGGGTATATTCTTCGTAGAGAAATGGATCTCTGGTTTCAGGCTCTGTCGCATAAAGCAACAACAAGAGAAAATCTTGCACTAGAAAGTGAATGTTCTTTCTGGCGGGTGGGAGTTGAATGCAGAGAACAATAATAACCACATGGTGTGAATTTGCGATGTTCCATTTTCATTTAAAATAGGACGTCTTTAAACTACTATACCATTATACTCGCAATCAGTCACTAGCAGCCCTCACGGGACCCGTGAAGATTCCGGGGTAGAATAGGTCTTCAGCAACCCATGCTTGCCGTAAAAGGCGACTTACGGGCTCGCTGACTTGGTTGATGCATGTCATCGACCCCAATGCGTGGATCGATGCTAATGATGTCAATCACTGGATTGTCTGGTCCAGACTCGATTATTTTACAGATCGCCGTCATATAGCTGGAATATTGCTGAGTGCGGCGTTAAACAACAAACAAACAAACAAAAACAACCCTCACGGGAAATCGGCCATTACTGTTAGTCAGGGCCATGCTAATGTACAGCGGAAATCAACAACCAGAAGCACTCATAGGTAGACGTTACTGTGAACTCGTTGTGCGAGTATACAATTGTACAGGCAGCTTGGGTCACACTATATCATCGCACTCGCAGCGTAAACCGGACACTAGAAACCCATGGTCCATTTTGTACTAACCGTCATTGGAAGACGGGTAGCTTTAAATACAGCAAAGACTGTGGGAACCCATCGCCCCAGACCAGTCGGTGACCTGCCTGCTATGTGTCACCGTGCTAGACGGTGTTCGACGTTTATCATGCTCGACGGTGTTCGACGTTTATCATGCTCGATGGCGGCCGGCGTGGTATAGTTGGAATACTGCTCTCAAGATTCACCTACATGGGGCCTACCATTCACATTACGATAAATGCTACATGAACAGTGTCTCGTTTTCTGTTAAACAATGCCTTGTCAACTTGTCGTAATAAAAAAAAGATTAAACCCCTTCTGCTTGTTAATACAGGGTAATGTTTACTAACAGGAGCGTCACAGCAGTATATCGTACGTGTGTATCTGTATATCATATTGGGGGCCGACATTTCACCGTTACCAGTTGCAAGTGTTAGTGCACTTGACCACCATATTCACCCAGTCTTATCTTACTAAACGGTCACCATATTCACCCAGTCTTATCATACAAAACGTTCACCATGGCGGGCCAGGTTCGGGGATTCGATGCCTGGGACTATGTGGTGTTTGGCGCCATGCTGTTTATAAGTGCGGCGATTGGTGTGTACTATGCTGTGGTTGGAAGAAAACAGAAAAGTACGAAGGAATTTCTACTGGCGAGTAGTGGGCTGGGGGTACTCCCTGTGGCTTTGTCCATCCTTCTCTCCTTCATGTCCGCCATCATGGTGCTCGGCAGCCCAGCGGAGATGTACACAGAAGGAACCCAGTTTTACATGAGAGTGATAGGGTGTCTTGGATGCGCAATCGCGTCCGTTATTTTTGTCCCTCTCTTCTACTCCCTGCATACAACAAGCGTTTTTCAGGTAGGTAACAAGTCATCTTGGTTGTAGCATCATACTCTTCAGGTTGAGTAAACATTTATGATATTCAACATCACCCATGATTTAATTTGATTAAGCGTGACCTCCGTGTAACGTCGACACGTGGAGATCCGGAGTAGAATAGGTCTCCAGCAACCCATGCTTGTCTCCCCGTGAAGATCCGGAGTAGAATAGGTCTTCAGCAACCCATGTTTGTCTCCCCGTGAAGATCCGGAGTAGAATAGGTCTTCAGCAACCCATGTTTGTCTCCCCGTGAAGATCCGGAGTAGAATAGGTCTTCAGCAACCCATGTTTGTCTCCCCGTGAAGATCCGGAGTAGAACAGGTCTTCAGCAACCCATGTTTGTCTCCCCGTGAAGATCCGGAGTAGAATAGGTCTTCAGCAACCCATGTTTGTCTCCCCGTGAAGATCCGGAGTAGAATAGGCTGGGTGAACTGGTTGATGGCGTGTCTTCGCTGGGGATCGGTGCTCACAATATCAATCACAAGATTTACTGCACCAGGCACGTTACTTACAGGCCGCCACCATAGTGCTGGAATATTGGTGAGGGCGGCGTTAAACAACAAACAAACAAACACTATTATCTCAGGCGTCAGGCGATGACAGACATTCATATGGTTTCATTGAATCAAGGTGACGTGCTTAATATGTGTGGCATTAGTTGAACGCTGGTACACAATGAGTTAGTTTATGTAAGATATGAGAGCGACACAACCTTTTGAATTAAAAACGGCAAGGCCAAAACATAATCAGTCTCAATTTTCAGTCTCAATAGTGCAAACCACTTCAATAGGTTTCTGTAAAACTTCATTTATCCCAAATACCTGAATGTTTTAAAATGTTCCATCGACATTATCACTGCTTGTCTGTTTAATATATACAGCAAACACTCGGGGAGGATCTCTGCTGTAAACTCCTGTGGGAGGACGTCGACTGCTTTAAAATGAAGTGCCAGCTAATTGTTTAAGTACGAGTAGTCGACCCGGGTTTGATTCCACAGCTTAGTGGGTACAACGCGTGAAGCCCATAATGGTGGTGCTAAAAGGGACGTACACGCCATGTTAGTGTTACTTATGCTACCATCACACAAAAGTAGTTCAACTAACAAAACAAATTAACATGAGCAAATAATCTGAAATAAATCTTTTAGACAAATGACCGCCTCCGTGGTGTAGTGGATAGATCATTGCGGAAGGCCGGTGGATCGACCTGGCAAAGTCATAATAAAATACGTTAAAAGATAGTATTTGTTATTATTGAAGGGTTGAAGCAAGGACTGGTTGGTATACAGTGTCTGAGCAAGGCTGAATAATGTTGTTGTTGTTGCATTAAGTGTTTAAGAGGGCGCCTTCTGCCCAATGCTACCAACACAACAAAGTAGTTCTATCCCGTTCTACCCCGTTCTGGACAAAATACTAGAGCGGGCTGTGATCACGGTAGAACGCGTAGTTTGGCATAAAATACGATGCTAGTTCGTTCATAAGCAGTCCCCAATACGTCTATCTCGTTCTTAGCCAGTCTGCAGTCCGTTTGTATCCAGTTCAGATCGTGTAAAAGTGCCCGTTCACTCACCCCGACAACGTTTCGAAGCAGTTCGAGCACGTCCGTAGCCGTTCTGAACCCGTTCTCAACCAGTTCAACCTCGTTCTACCCCGTTCACAATACGTCCAAGCCATTTCTAACTAATTCTTAACCCGACCAACTCGTTCGCAGTACGTCCTCATCTCGTCCCAAGTGCGTGTGTATTCGCGTCCTGGCCCGACTCCTATGGATACCGAGCGCGTTGTAGTCAGTCTTCATTCAAGTTCAGTGCTCCGAGCTGTACACATCATGCCTCCAAAGAGAAGTCGACCCGGTCGGTCTGCACACGTACTAAAACTTATGTCCGACTGCAGTGTTACTAACATCGCAGTAAACCTAAGGAAGCATGCATCAACCCTTTCCTCGCGGACAGAATATAACGTCGTAGCTACACTTGTAGCGCTATGAGCATCCACTTGGTGAATGGAATCTGGCGCAGTATAAATGCACTTATTATTTAATTGTCACACGCACGATGCAAGCTGCTTTTCCTTAATTTTTGACAAAGTTGTGGCTAAACCTAAAATGCAAAATAGTATACACTCTCAATATATGCACAAAAACTTTTATTGTAAAGATCGCGAAGAGCTAAAATACCAATTTAAGGCAGGTGTATAACATATGGCCTTTGTGTAATATGTTGGTACAAGAAAGCTGCTACAAACTCCTCCATTCTTATTGCACTTTTTATAAAAGGTACTACTGACCATTGGATATATCTGGAATTTGAATATGTTGTGTTGCTGTAGCCCCTCCTAACTTCATCACGTAAAACATTTCACCAACAATGATGTTATGTGTTTAGCTCCGTAGGCGGAGACGGTAGGATTACCAAACATTTTGATCTGACTCCAAACTCGATTCCCACCTTTAACAATTTCTTATGGTGTTCGCGACCGCCAAAATGTTACAGCAATCCCATGGCAGGTAACCTGATAACACGAGGTGGCTTTATGAACCCGGCCAGGTGAGATAGAATGTCAGCTGTAAAAACCTGCCCGATTCGTTCCATTGTATCCGACACCGGGAACATGAATGTTCATTTATGTATCTATTCATTTGTTTGTTTGTTGTTTAAAGCCGCACTCAGCAGTATTCCAGCTACATGACGGCGGTCTGTAAATAATCGAGTCTGGACCAGACAATCTAGTGACTGACATCATGAGCATCGATCCAGGCAAATACGATGGCATGCATCAACCAAGTCAGCGAGCCTGACCCCCCGATCCAGTTAGTCGCCTCTTACGACAATCATAGTCGCCATTTATGGCAAGCATGGGTTGCTGAAGGCGTATTCCACCCCGGACCTTGACGGCTTACATAACTATTTGTAGAGTCATATCAATCATAACCTAAAACAATATAGATTGATTTGAACTATTTAGCCAATCGAGTTTTTCCTTTCCTTAGAATTAATGAGCGGATGTAAATCTAGGTGATAAGCGCCCACACACGAGGTGGTTATATGACTAAAACGACCGCGACAAACAATAGCGAGACACTTCATGTACCTATATTTAGTACACAAGAAGATAATCACGATGTACTACTTGATACAACAGTAAACTACAGTTATAACGAACTGAAAATGACCACTAATTTTAGTTCGTTATAATCGTAATGCGTTGTAGACATTTCGACTATCAGACATCTTATGACGTGACCACATCATGTCACTCAAGTCGTCGCAGTTTCGTTATATCAGTCAGTTCGTTATAAGCGTGTTCGTTATAAACGTAATGTACTGTGCTTTATATTGTTTATACCGTTAGAATAGAAGCAATGCAAATCACAGTGACTGTGCCAAAATAACCAGTATGTGTCGATGCTAGGTCACAAGGCTAACTGGCAAATAAACAGTACACACACGCACATCATTAAGAAGTGTTGCGTTACCAAGTTTCATAACAATTGAACATAGGCAGTAGGATGGGTTATCAGTAAACTGAGGAGCAAAAGAAAATATACACCGATGTGTTTGGTGGCTAAACATGACACACACCAAAAATGGTCTTTCAAGGGTAATGTGTTTGACACGGGTGTCATAGCTGGGTTCTGGACCTTAAGTGTAGAGTGTCGGCGACTGATTTCAGCCTAGTAACGCTTGATAACATTTGTAATTGTAATTTTCACGTGTACACCTTCTGTTGCAGTTTACTTGTGAGTGAGTGAGTATGGTTAACGCCGCTTGTAGCAATATTCCAGCAATATCACGGCGGGGGACACCAGAAATGGGCTTCACACATTGTACCCATGTCGGGAATCGAACCCAGGTCTTTAGCGTGACGAGCGAACGCTTTAACCACTAGGCTACCCGACAGCCCCCACTTTCCTTTTGAGGTGATGTAAGTCTCTGGATCCCAATGTGTCGTCCTATCTCTACATGCCGCGTTGAATGTTGTGGGGCATCAAGAAATCCTAAAAGTAGAATATAAACATGCAAATGGCTGTAACTCTCTCAGCATGGCGACGGCCTATCTGGGAGTGCCGGACTATGTGCTGTTTTACTTTTTTTATCCTAATTGTGTGAATGGCGGGTACTACCGGTTCTTCAGGACATGTTTACACTTTTCGCGAACACCTGGTGTCGTCGCTGTTTTACCTGCAGGTGCTCGGCAAAATGTTAGACTGTGTTGTAGCTTCACTTCTATTTGTATCTATGCTTTACCCCCTAAAACTAACATGCACGCAAACTCAGGGTGTGTTACCTAGAGCGTCCATCATACCAAACTAACTCAGGGAGTGTAAGCTAGAGCGTCCACTATACCAAACATATCAATGTGCAGAGTTGATATCTGTGTTCTAGTGGTCTAATTTACCGCATATTGATTTTCTGAGTTGATATCAGTGGCCAAATTGCCCAATCTGCCGCAGACACACACACGCATGTAACATACATATATCCTGCACACTGACACCTGTAGCACACACACACACACACACACACACACACACACACACACACACACACACACACACACACACACACACACACACACACACACACACACACAAGTAACATACATACATCCTGCACACCGACACCTCTAGCAGACACACATACATGTAACTGACGCATAACCTGCACACTGCACACTCACAGTGAGTGAGTTAAAATTCAAAGTCGCATCGGTATAATTTAAGCCTGAGTTTAACGACATGCATGTTTTTGTCTGTTTCTCAATTGATAACGCCCCGCTCAGCAATATTCCTGCCATATTAGCGATCTGAAAATAATCAAGTATGGACCAGACAACCCAGTGATCAAAATCATGAGCATCGATCTAGGCAATTGGGATATGATGACATGCATCAACCAAGTCAGCGAGCCTGGCCACCCGATCCCGTTCGTGGCCACTCACGACAAGCAGTTGCTTTAACTGACACGCAAATACCTACACACATCTACCCTGTCATAACATGCCTTATTGTGTTTCAGTATCTGGAGAAGCGGTTCGACTCCCGTGCCGCCAGACTAACAGGGACATGTATCATGGTAATTCAGCAGGTGAGTGAGTGAGTGAGTTCTTACTATCATTACGTTCATATATTATGGAACCCTAGAAGGGACATCGGTACGATACAAAAAATATTATTCTGAGTGCGTCAATGCCACAACTCAACAATGCGACAAATGGCTCCTGTGCTATTACAGGGCAGTGTTTTTATTGTTTAGCAGTCATTGTAACTGTGCTGTATTGTATCTGGTGGAATTTGGTAGTCGCTCATTGCATTGTGTCTGGACAGTAATCTCTCACGTATTTTCATCACATCGGGACCAGCTTTCATGTGAGGATCGCTCATGATCCACGATTCCCTGCCTAGCCCATTTCGGCAGTTTGACCGTTGTCGCCGCTGGGTGAATATGTATTTTTATCACTGACTTTTGTGTTTGGACAGTGATCAGTCGTCAGGAAGTTTCTATAGGTACTAGTGTGTTATGTAATTTTCCGGTCTGGTATACCACGGACTGTGATAGTATGTTATGGAAACGTATTTAATGTTCTAGTACCGATAGAGGGCACTGTGTAGAAATGTCCAGTAGCTTGTCAGGCTGCATATACATGTATAGTGGGACAAGAGCGTGTTTACGGATCTCCCACGCATTTTCATCACATCGGGACCAGTTTTCATGTGAGGATCGCTCATGATCCCTGATTCCCTGCCTCGCCCATCTAGGAAGCTTGACAACTATCACCACTGTTTTTGTGTATCTGATTCTGACCTCTGCCTTCATGTTATGTATGCCATTTAATATTGTACTCGTGAGTGAGTTGGGTTTAACGCCGCTTTTAACAGTATTCCAGTTATATCGCAGCGTGTCAGCTTAATGTGGGAGGAAAGCCCAAAGTGATGCAGGTCTCAGATGTTTACCACTTCGGTGAAACCCACGAACACGGGTATGGTGCTGACAAACCTAGAAACATAATCGGGGCGAACCGGGATTGAAACCCACAATCATAGGTTTCTGGCATGCCCAAGGGACGCAACTCTGCACAGCGAATCGCGGCGCCTTAGACGACTGGGCCACCCGTGCCCCCTTATTACCATTGTAAATGATGTACAGTAATGTGTATTGATTTGTAAACTTAGTGAATTTTGTAACACACGTGTTGATTGTATACCACTTGTTGGTTGTTCGTTGGTTTCACACAAAGTTCTTTTACGTACACATTTCTGGATTAACATTGTTTCCATTTGGAAATCGACACCTAACAGAAATTGGGGGCTCGTCCGGGATAGAAATTTAATATATCACAAGTTATTTGTCAAAAATTATTGGATAAACATTTCATTGTCTAGTATTGCGTGAAGCCAACCATCACTATGATGTGTAGTGTAGAGGAATTTGTTAGTCAACCTTCGAGGGAACAAGTCTATGTGCTCAAAGAGTCGGAACTGATCGAACTGGCCAAACATTATAAACTTGACATCAAATCGGGTATACTTGAGGCTAATATCAAGAAAATTTGAATAACTTACATGGTTGAGGAAGACATTTTGCATGATGATGATTTGGCCTTGCTTGAAGAAAAAACTGACTTTTTGGCTTTGAAGACATTAGAATCTGAAAGAGAAATTCGGCTCAGAGATTTGAAAGCTGAGAAAAAAGAGAGAGCATATGGGCTTAAAGAAATTGAAGCTGAGAAATAAAAATTGAGAATTGAAACTGAGAATGAAAAATTGAGATTGGAAGTTGATATAGAATTTAGGATCAAACAATTTGAATAACAGAATGATCTCTCTCACCATACCTTAACAGGTCCTGAATAGTTTGATCTTTCAAAACAGATTAGATTTGTTCTGCCCTACTCTGAACATGATGTTGAGACGTTTTGCTTACATTTCTAAAAGGTGGCCAACAGTTTGAAATGGCCTCAAAATAAGTGGATCTTAAGCTTCTTGTTGTAAAGTGTGTTAAGGGGAAAAGCTGAAGTTGTTTATTCAGCCTTACCTGTTGATAGGAATTCTGATTATCAGGTGGCTAAGGCTGAACTTGTGAAGGCTTTTGAATTGGTTCCTGAAGCAGACGAAAGTTTAGGTCTGCTAAGAAAAGAGATGTGTCTACTTTCGTTGCGTTATACGTGAGAAGGAAACTCTCTCTGATAGGCGGTGTACTTCAAAAGAGGTCAATGGTGATTTTGATAGTTTTAGGCAGTTGGCTTTGCTGGAGGATTGTAAACAGTGTGTCAACAGACATTCAGACATATCTTTGATGAGCAGTAAGTGGATCCGTTACACAAGGTTGCTACTTTGGCTGATGACTATTCGCTAGCTCCCGGGGTTTAGTTTTAAGCAGGCAGGGTTTACAGGCAGGAGTTCGCAGGGTTCAAAACAGGAAAGGATAGTTCATCCTCTCCTAGATGCAGTTCTAACAAGTCTGGTTCTGTGTAAGTTGACAAAAAGTCAAGTTCCACTTCAGTTGGTTCTGAAAATACTTCTGGATTTTCGCCAGTGGGTACTCGCCACTAAGCCAGTGTAGAAATCTTCCCTGAATGCCTTTGTGAATATCACGTTTCAGCCGTTTTGAGGTTCGGCAAAAGAGCTAATGAGTTAGCTGTTGTGGACCAGTCATCAAAGCCTGTTGCTTTGAGAGAGGAGTACTTACCTTTTGTTAGTAAAGGTTTTGTGTCAGCTAGAGGTGACAGTTCCAAAGTTAAGCCCATTACCGTTTTCAGGGATACTGGTGCTCTTCAAATTTTGGCTGGTATTTTGTCACTTTGTGAGGAGTCAGCAGCTAACTCTGAGGTTTTGTTAGAGGGTTTATGTGGTTGTACCAGTGCACCTCTCCATTTTGTGAATTTGGAGACAGATTTGGTGCCTGGGTGGGTGTTGTAGAAATTGGGAAAGATTTGGCAGGGGGAGATATTTGGCTGATCCTCTTGTTTTGCGCCTAGCACTTCGGAAAGTTCTTAAAATCTTGAAAAATAAATTCCATGTATTTTCCCTTGGTATGTTGATACTTGTGTCCATGGTTAAGAGAATGATTCCAGTTATGATTTGGCTGGCACTTTTATGAATCATTCTCTTGACCAGTTCTGGGTAGGGATCAGTAACTAAAGTTGCAGGCGGAAGACCTAGAACTTCAAAGTTCTTTCTAAAATGGCACTCTCTTTAGAAGAAGCTGACAAGACTCCAGCTTGCTTTTAGGATAGTGTTTTGATGAGGAAATGGAGGCCGTCATGTGTATCAGCTGAAAATGGGCTTCACGCATTGTACCCATCGACCGCCCCGCAATTCCTTTGGCAGGGTGTAAACGAAACTTGTGACAAAATTTTGTCCCATTACATTTGACATATAATTAACGGCATGATGTGGCTGAATTTTGCAAAACATGCAGTGTGTGTCAATGGTTGGCAACCCTAATCGGAAAATTCCTGCTGCATCTTTGAAACCCAATCCTGCTTTTGAAGAACCTTTCAGCAGCGTCATCAGTGATTGTGTTGCTCTCTTGTTTGTACAAGGTTCAGTTGGGACCATAAAGTTGAAACTTGTCAGACAGACGGTGTCTCAATATGTCGTAACTGTGGGGGTAATCACAGTCCTGCTTACCCACGATGTAAGAAATAGAAGGAGGCAGTATTTGTTCAGCGAGTTTCAGTTGAAAAGAAAAGTATCGTATGTCGAAGATAACTCGCATTGTGAAGACCACTCACTCCGCTACTATGTGCTGTTCCGTCTGCTGGTCCAACCGCTGTTCCTGTTTGTTCATGTGTCTGTCAAGTACATGTTTAACGCAGTGAAATATCCTAGTCATCTTCCCTGCTGCTCCACCATTGGGTCAGACGCCTAACCTAGGCAATACCTATCCTAGCGGATGGTTGCTTCAAAGCATCTAGCAAAGAAGATCACATAGATCGAATTATGTCAGCTGCTAAAACCCATTCCTGATTGATATATCAAAAAACACTTTACATGTTTGAACAGGAGTAATGGAAGGGAATTTTATTTATTTATTTCAAATACCTGTAATCTTCCAGATGTTTTATGTGCCTAGGAGACATTCCTGCGTCCACAGAGTAATTTTAATATCGAGGGATACGCCATTTTCCAAAAGAACAGAATAATGAGGAATCAAAATGTCTCGAAGGAGGCTTTCCTTCAAAGAGCACAAAATCCGAAGTCAATTCAGTTAAGATTTACTTTGATGAAGCTGGATCAGTAACAGTGATTAATGTGTACAGCACTGGAAAGCCTAAAGTAAACGATTACATCAAATTAACAGAGGATGGTCATGAGCTCTGTTTCGGGTCATGAGCCCTGTTTCAGTTGTGACGATTTTAACAGTTTGTGGGGAAGCAATATGTGGGGAATGACACCATTACTTTACACATTATTGAAATATCGTCAGGTAGGCTCTTATTCCCAAAGTGTGGTGGAATGATGAATGAATAAAAGCAAACAAAGCAAGGAAACAAACCTATAATAGGGTTTGTCCTACTTCTCTTCTTTGTGATCTGGCTGTGTTCAGAAAGAGACGAGCCGAGTTTCAACGAGTCGTTCCTGGGGCAAAACGCTGTTGTGGGCGTAACTGTATTTCGAGTATAAATAGTTTTACTCCATAATCTTCTATTTGGTCCAGAATAAAAAGTATCAGTGGGACTGAAACCGATGTCCTATACCTGTTTAAGTCATGGAGAGCAGTACAGTGACCAGCTTTCGGAAGACTTATGCACTGATAACTTCCAGAGGGATTTCAGAGAAGTCAAAGAATCTTATGAAACCGCTTTTCTCCCTGACATTTTGGCGGCCATGTGAGCTGTAGCTCTGATTTAAACCCCCCTTTCGCATAAAATAAACTTCAAGGTGCCATATCAAAAACAAAACAATTACACTCCTCGAGCTGATGATTTATTTCCTGAGATGTTTTGGAACATGCCTGATTCTGCTCTATTCTGGGACTATTCCTAAAACCTCGACACATGTCATCATTGTCCCAATACCTGCTTTATACAGACAATTTTCCCTAATTTCCAATGTATGCAAAATCATGGAAAGATTAGTCGTAAATCGATTAAACTATTTTCAAGAGAAAAATAGGCTTCTGTCAAGAAAACAGCCAGGCTTCAGAAAGGGTCGTTCATGTACAGATCATCATGTACGTCTCCAGACAGAAGCACTAAAAGCTTTATGCAATCAAAAATACATGCCTTCCTTGACAAAGCATATGATATGATCTGGAGACAAGGACTTCTTCTCAAATTAAAGAAGCTGTTGATGAAAGGCAACAAGTTCAGATGGATTCACTCGTTTATTTCTGAAAGTCTATCCAAGAGACTTCGTGACTGTATCTGGAAAATTTGAAATATTGTAGAAAATACATATATGCATTCACTGTGTATTGACTTTTAAACCATTTTAACAGTTTTCTTTTTGTGTCTTCATTGAATAAGTTCTTACTTTTCAGAAAAAAATAGCAATTACTTGTTGTTTTAATAGATAGATTAGATCATGAAGCAGATTAGTTCATCATTTAATTTCTTTAATTTTGTTTGTACTGGTTTAAAAACAGTTGATGTGTTGGGTGCAGACAGACCTTAAATGATCCAAGTCGCACTTACACCAAAATACTCTTCTAGAATTCAATAATTTCTACCACTGCTTTACAATTCCATGTTCAATAATAATTTTACTTTCAGGTGTTGTATATGGGATTGGCATCGTTTGCTCCATCAACGGCTTTAGAAGCGGGTTAGTATATTTTTGTACATGAATTTTAATTGTGCATCTGAAAACGTGCATATTCTGGTCAGGAAGTACTTTAATGTTTCTCGAATTTCATTTAATTTTACAAAGTATCAGAAAATGTTAGGGTCCTCATTACAATTAACAAATATTACACCAGTAATGAAACATGTCGACGTTGTCAATGTTTGTGACACAATAACAACAGTCACTGCTTCTATTGTTAGTTGTCCTAAACATGCCGAAAATTTCCTTTTTTGTTAATAAAACGCACAATCCGTAAGGGTAAAGACGTATGGTCACTTCCGAACCTTTGTGACAAAAACTGCCTTTGTCATACAACATACCTCTTAGTAACAAACCACTGTAGGATCCACTATACGAAGGGTAAAGATGCACAATGGCTGTATGCACTTATCGTTTGCATTTCAGTGACTGGGTTTCCGACATGGGCAACCATCATCACTGTGGGACTGGTGTCAACGTTCTACACCTCACTGGTGGGCACAGCGCACTCTGCAATAGTTGGAGTGAATACGGCATTTAACATAACACGCAGTACGATCTTCAGTCATTATACTTGGCCTATTAGACATGAGAGACACATTTTCCTAAGTTGCGTCCCCCTGGACATATCTGGATCCGTTGATCAAGGGGTCGAATCATAGACTCGCCTTGGTAATGTTTTGCTAGCATCCTTACTGAAGTCATGGGCTTCACACCGTGAACGAACTGCAGCATAGAATTAATACAACCGAAAGCATGGTCAATATATATATTCTATTGTCTCATCTTACATATCACATATATAGAGGTTATCACGCGAGTGTGTTTGGGGATGGTAATTATCCTGCATTAGGAATAAACATTGTATTTAGCGAGCCTTGGCGAGATAAATACATAATGTTTATTCTTAATACAGGATATTTACCATCCCCAAACACACAAGCGTGATAACCTCTGTATCATATAATGTCATTCTTTAATTCTGTGCTTGAAAATCGGTTTCCCTCTCTCACAAACATTACCGAAACATTGCGAGTTTTCCTGGAATGCGCGCATTAATATTTATTACGTCACAGGTTAACTGATGTGTCAGTGGGACAGTGACAGTAGCCAATATAGCTCCAACTAAAATCTTATACAGTGGCTATACAGTGGCTAAGCAACATATACGCAAAAAACAATTGTTTTTACTTGCCTTTCGCGGCAATCAACCGGTCTGTCCGCTTGAGTAACTGCCCTTTGTGAAAGGAAAGCTACTCTAACCCTAATCTATGAGACGTCACGGCCACGTTCAGACGTTGTTGACAGTCGGTCTGTCCTGTCATAACGTTAAGAAGTGCAGTCAATGTACACACAGCGACAAAACGAAACAAGGTAATATTTCAAACATATTTCGGCCAAATCCAACCATTTTTATTTATGGAAAAGGTTTCAAGCCGCAGAGGTCGACAAGCACAGATATGGCTACTGATCCCGCTTGGCTAGGCTTAGTGCCCTCGCAAAATTGTTTCGAAATTTATATCTCCAAAGTTGCCAAAAGTTATAAAATGCCTTAGCCACATCACAGTTAGACACTGATTTTCAGTATATTAGACTGTTCTTTTGATAATGATAGCAATTACCCCTTTAGCTATCCAGATTCCCGATGGTTAATTCTGACTCGAACGCCGAATGACAAGGGAGACGCCATGTTTGTTTGTAAACACTGAAAGTAGTCCCTACTTGACCTTTGATATTTGCATCTCTGTCCGCATACGACCCAAACGGATATCGTTTTTATTCGTTGGCGGTATCCTGCTGAGAAAACTACCCATTATATATATATATTTATCATTTAACTTAAGCATTTATCCATGACATAAGCTTATGACATAAAAACATGTATGTCATACCCCAATGACATAAGTATGCAAATTAGATATGCAAATTAGATAACCGGAAGAGGGAGCGGTTTGATTTGAAACTATATATTATAAGTGAAGTTACACCAGAGATATAATCAGATTACACAGAATCGTTGTTGTTACCGTTATTAAAGTTTCAATTATTCTGCAAAAGTCTGTTCAAGTATTTTGTTTAAAATAATCCGAGGAACTTTTTTTCTCAGCGAATTGTTTATTTTGGTTTACATGGCTATGGAAAACATGTATCACTACGCACGATCTATACGTAAGATTTCGACAAGTTGCTGATGTTAATGTTTAATGCAATTATTCCTTAATTTGGAAGCAAAAATTTGAAAATGATAAATAGAATTCATCACTCGTGTTTTTTAATATGGGAAATATCAACCTCGTCCCGTTAATCGGTATTTGCCTCGCCAAAGGCTCGGCAAATACCGATTAACTAGGCTCGGTTGATATTTCCCATATTAAAAAACACTCGTGATGAATCCTCCCTCTCTCTCTCTCTCTCTCTCTCTCTCTCTCTCTCTCTCTCTCTATATATATATATATATATATATATATGACGTCATATATGATGACGTCATACTTATGATGACGTAATAAATTACAACTGTGACGTCATAATGTATTTACACACTCCAGCGACGACACCAAGTATGACGTCATATTATATGTCATTGTCAGTTACACGGACAGCGAAAGTACTATGTCTGAAACTGATATAAAGAAGATGATGGACTAACGTGGACTTTATTATTTTATATATTCTATTGTCTCATCTTACATATCACATACTTCCATTTTATTGGTCAATAACGATTTGATAGATTCCATGTGCAATATTAATTTTGACACAAACAACCATTTTGCATCTGCGTTTGTTTTGAAATAATAAACGTGGCGGTAGGATACATTCCTTAAATAATTATTCGGGTAATCCGTTTGGATGTGCCCTCTGTGTGGGCACCCTGCTCAAGGTACAGTACACACAGAGGGGGCACCAAACAGTATTTCCCTTGGGACAAGCCTAAAACTTATATGTCAGTCCTGCCATATCTTTGTTGATAATATTTGGGACATTTCATGTCTATATTATTTTAGGGTGGAATGAAAGCAGTTGTGTGGACAGACGCGTTTCAATCAGTGGTGCTGCTTGCCGGACTACTAGCAATAGTCATTCAGGTATGACCGTGGAGAATTATGTCAGAATGCATATCTGCCCAGTGCTGTTACTAACCAATGTTTTATCAGCAAATAAAAAGATATTCAATATAATTCAAAGAAATTTCAAAATATTCGTATGAACTCTTTTACTTGTGTAATAATAATATTGGTAGACATTGCAATTGGTAGACAGTATAGTGAGTGTACATGAAGATTTAAGTAAACGGAACGGGTAAATTTGTAGACCTTATTATGAACAGTTCATCACGTTAAATCGAAAAAAAAAATAGTTGACCTGATGATATATGGTTCCTCGTGGAAACTGAAGCAAAATGGGTAAATTGTTCTACTTTACAATATATGGTTCCTCTCATTTAATTGTTCTACTTTACAATATACGGTTCCTCTCATTTAATTGTTCTACTTTACAATATATGGTTCCTCTCATTTAATTGTTCTACTTTACAATATACGGTTCCTCTCATTTAATTGTTCTACTTTACAATATACGGTTCCTCTCATTTAATTGTTCTACTTTACAATATATGGTTCCTCTCATTTAATTGTTCTACTTTACAATATACGGTTCCTCTCATTTAATTGTTCTACTTTACAATATACGGTTCCTCTCATTTAATTGTTCTACTTTACAATATACGGTTCCTCTCATTTAATTGTTCTACTTTACAATATACGGTTCCTCTCATTTAATTGTTCTACTTTACAATATACGGTTCCTCTCATTTAATTGTTCTACTTTACAATATATGGTTCCTCTCATTTAAAATAATACAAAATCAGTCAGTTGGCTGGCGCTATAATATATGGTCACTTGCATTTACAGTATAACAAAGTGTGTAAATTGGTTGACTTTATAACACATGCTTCTTCACGTATAAAAGTAATGTGTGCGTTGGTTGACCTTAAAATACATGGTTCACAACGTTCAAAGTAGAAATAATGGGTGTATTTGTTGACCTGAGAGTAAATGTTCCATTCCATGATTTCAGGGATCCATCGTGGTTGGCGGCATGGGAGAAGTGTGGAGAATAAACGAAGAATGGGGACGAATTAATTTCTTTAAGTATGTATCCCATTCTGCCAATTAGCTGTTTGTGAGTCTGACCCAAATCAAGCTCACGCACGTGTGTGTTTTACATTTTCTACTTTGCCTTAATGAAGTGTTATTTCGGTGGCTAACAGTGGCAGCTACATTGTAGGTTTGCATATCAGTTCAACAAACGTTCATTTTTATTGTTTAAAGAAAACAGCAAAAACAAACTTTCTTTTAGTCGCTGGCTGAGGTAAATGTGTAATAAACGTATTGGTGTAATTGCTTAACGGTACCGTTATACAGTTACATAACGTATTGCCATTCCGCTCCCTAATGGTCAATGTAAGCCATGACTCTACAGCTCGCCTGGTCAGCCGAGGGTCATTTAACTTTGAACTGTCTCTGTCAGCATTCATGTACCGGCCAATACACACAAGGCATTAACACACAACAAGGGTTATACTCACATACTTTTACTAATGCTCCAGTCTATCGCTGAAATGCAGCTAAACAAGACAGGATAGGATCGTCACACAGTGGGAAAACGGAGTAGTGACGATTTGCCTCAGTCATCGGCAAAGGCCGCACTACTCTGCTAGTGTTACGTGTAGCGGTTCTAGGTGATCGAACCTGACCTTTCACATGACATAATACAACAATTTGATTCATTAAAACTAAATCTGACGATGAACTCATACATACATACATACTCATGTATGTGTCGTAAATGAAGAAATACCGGAGCCTGCGTGACTAATTGAGGATGTCTTTATTGATTTTCTGAATCACCCTGTTTAGCTTTTCTTATGAAGGTGTTTTGCCTCTATACTGATTAATTGAAAAACAATGACAGCATGGAAATAATCACGATGATAAATGGGAAATGTCCTTTCTATATGGAATCCCATCTAAACGGAGACTTTCTGTCACTATATCTATGTTACAATGCAATCGCATCTTTGAAGCTATCATGACAAGTATTATCATTTCAAAGCTTTGTTACAGTTTTCTAATGTTTTTAGATGCCTTCTAACCTGATAACAATATTTCGTGAAGAATATTATACACAAGGGATGTTTGGAAAGGTTAATAGGCAAAATTCCAATTCGTTCAGGTTATTCAGGAATCACATGACCCGACGTTATACATTGCTTTGGTTATTAAAGCTATTCAGGAATCACATGACCCGACGTTATACATTGCTTTGGTTATTCAAGCTGTTCAGGAATCACATGACCCGACGTTATACATTGCTTTGGTTATTCAAGCTCTTCAGGAATCACATGACCCGACGTTATACATTGCTTTGGTTATTCAAGCTATTCAGGAATCACATGACCCGACGTTATACATTGCTTTGGTTATTCAAGCTATTCAGGAAGCACATGACCCGACGTTATACATTGCTTTGGTTATTCAGGCTATTCAGGAAGCACATGACCCGCCGTTATACATTGCTTTGGTTATTCAGGCTATTCAGGAAGCACATGACCCGCCGTTATACATTGCTTTGGTTATTCAAGCTGTTCAGGAATCACATGACCCGACGTTATACATTGCTTTGGTTATTCAAGCTATTCAGGAAGCACATGACCCGACGTTATACATTGCTTTGGTTATTCAAGCTATTCAGGAAGCACATGACCCGACGTTATACATTGCTTTGGTTATTCAAGCTATTCAGGAATCACATGACCCGACGTTATACATTGCTTTGGTTATTCAAGCTATTCAGGAATCACATGACCCGACGTTATACATTGCTTTGGTTATTCAAGCTATTCAGGGAGCACATGACCCGACGTTATACATTGCTTTGGTTATTCAAGCTATTCAGGAAGCACATGACCCGACGTTATACATTGCTTTGGTTATTCAAGCTATTCAGGAAGCACATGACCCGACGTTATACATTGCTTTGGTTATTCAAGCTATTCAGGAAGCACAGGACGGGTAATGGGTTGAGTTGGTGGAGGTATAGTGGACTGATACCTAGAACTGTCGTGCATTTCTGTGTACAGTTACGTGCAGGTGCTTGGTTGTCACAATAAAGTCAAGTCTTTGAATTGCATACAGAAGTGAGACACAGTAGAGAGGTAATATATGGATGTCAACCTCTATATTATTATGGGGCGGTCGGGTAGCCTAGTGGTTAAAGAAATTCACTCGTCGCACCGAAGACCCGGGTTCGATTCCCAACGTGGGTACAATGTGTGAAGACCATTTGTGGTGTCCCCACTCACTCACTCACTCACTCACTCACTCACTCACTCACTCACTCACTCACCCACCCACCCACCCAATCAATCAATCAATCAATCAATCAATCAATCAATCAATCAATCAATCAATCAATCAATCAATCAATCAATCAATCAATCAATCAATCAACCAATCAATCAATCAATCAACCAATCAATCAATCACTTTATTGTTATGAACACATCGTAGAACTCTCCCCAGATTTGATCCAGACAGACTTTGAATCGGCTGTCATCAGTGCTGTCAGTGAGATCTTCCCTGGCAGCTCAGTTCGGGGCTGTTTTTCCACTATGCCCAAGCTTTGTAGCGTCAAGGTTGCTGACAGAGGTCTTGTGCGAGAGTACATGAACAATCCTGCAGTATAGAGCCACGGCCGACGAGCTGCAGCTTTGCCACTACTGCCACCGGATCAAGTCCAAGATGCTTGGATTGAAGTTATGGAGCAGGGTCCAGATGGTCAACAGATTTCCACCTTCAATGTAACAAGTACCTGGGTAGAAGACGACGCCAGATTTCCCTGTAATATCTGGAACCAGCACGAGAACACTGGACCTCGCTCCCACAACCACCTGGAGGGGTTTCACAATGGAGAAAAGAAGAGAATGCCCCGGTCACATCCCAACATCTACCAGTTCATAAAAGAAATCAAGAAGATTGAGGCAGCAGATAAACGTTCTAGACGGCAGACAGGTCTTGGTGGTGCTGTTAAACGCCGTGCACGTATTGACAGAGACAGAGATGCCCGACTTGAGAGACTGAAGCTACACCTCGCAACTGGACAAAAAAAACTGTGATGCAGTTTCAAGATGCAGTTAGACACTTGGTGAAATTACAGTAATTGTTATGTGACTGATGAATTAGTGTATCACACATGTACTTGATTAACTTATGTGACTGATGATGATGATGATGATGATGATGATATTGATGTATGTTGAATATATGACCTTATTAAGGTATAAATCATAAGTGCAAGACTTTATTTTCTTGAGTTGTTGAAATATATGAAGTGTACCTCATTAGTGGAAGCGTTCACTTTTCTTAAGGTATAACAACATTTATGTGATGTGCAGTCAACCCTAACTTTGTTTTGATAAGGGCGTAGGCGAAATGGGGTGTAGACGATATGAGGTCAGGCCCCAGATAAATGAATGCGAGGATGCGGCGAGCATATACGTGTACTTGTACGAACAACAAAAGTTAATACAGGTGGAAATTTAACGAGAAAAGCCAACAGTTAATTAGCACTGATTGGTGATTAGCACAGAACAAATGGAATAATATTATACAACCATAACATGAATCTATGTACTAGTTTTTCACACCTTTTTATATTTGTTAAGGGATAATGTATATTATACCTTTATTTCCTCTCTCTCTCTCTCTCTCTCTCTCTCTCTCTCTCTCTCTCTCTCTCTCTCTCTATATATATATATATATATATATATATATATATAAACATGACTCCCCACTATCAAAGTGTTTGTGTATGGTGGTTTATTTCCTTGTTAAGTATATGATCATGACTTATTATTAACTCCATCTGCCTCGTTGACGAAATAGATGGCCTCTGAAGTCAGCGTGAAACCTATGAAATGATGATGGTAATAATCCTCATAATAATCAAGCTGACATCCTTAAATTCCCTCTCTCCAAATAAAGTCACAGATAAAAGTTCCTAGTAGTCGTGAGTGTTCGCAGTACAGAAAGTACAGTTTTATGCCTTAACTTTATGCGTCAGTATTATGAACGTTTTACTAACAAAGAGTTTTGTGAACACCTTGTGTACTCAATGATTTTCTTTGATCCATTCTTACAATGATTTTCATGATATCAATCACTGGATAGTCTGGTCCAGACTCGATTATTTACAGACCGCCGTCATATAGCTGGAATATTGCTGAGTGCGGCGTTAATCAAACAAACGCACACACACATATGATTTTCACGTATTCCCACTATTTTGTTTGTTATCCCCAGTGGAATCTGTTTCAGCAGATGATCCACAGTCATGAGTATTGACGTTCTCACGTGAAAGTTCCGCGTCGGTTGCCATCATATTTCAATACAAAAACATTAAATAGAAAGGTACATTATAAACAGGCGGAGACAGATTCCATTCAGTTGGAGTGTGGAAGGGTATGGTCTGATGCTAATATTGTCAAAGTTGATATCGATGGACCACGGTTTTGCGCCTCACTGCATCAGTTAGCTCCTCGGGGGACTTGGAAACATGGCGACCGCTCCCATTGTTAAAGAACATGTACATCCCCCGCTCCACGATGAAAACATACCCATTCGTCCATTTTAATATTTAAGTACAAAATAGCCAAACTTCGCCATCAAGCTGAAGGCCCTCGGGACGAGTCCACGTTTATACTCAATCAGTGCATTTATAAAATATCAGAACCATTCTTAACACATCGTTGTTGTGGGATTATTTCTTGGTCTTGTATCGTGTTTGGGCCTTGTCAGTATCAACTGTTATGCTGATGAGTACAGATCTTGTTATGTTGTGATGGGATATCTCTAAAAAAATGCGGACATGGATACAAGTTCTAGGTGTTCACTATGTTTTACTCAGCCGATGCATATTGATGGCAGTAAATGCAAAAGGTACATCTTCATCCTCATTTGATGGTAAGTATTCAACATAGAAAGAATTATTTCACAAATATTTTTCCGAATATTAAGTAACAGTTTCCTTTCCAGCTTGGTGTCACATTAATGGCGGGTCTATATAAAGACAGGACGCCTGTAGGGAACAGTGACAGAGATACGGCTTGGTCTATATAAAGACAAGGCATCTGTATGGAAGAGTGACAAGGATACGGCTTGGTCTATATAAAGGCAGGACATCTGTAGGGAACAGTGACAGAGATACGGCTTGGTCTATATAAAGACAAGGCATCTGTATGGAAGAGTGACAGGGATACGGCTTGGTCTATATAAAGGCAGGACATCTGTAGGGAACAGTGACAGAGATACGGCTTGGTCTATATAAAGACAAGGCATCTGTATGGAAGAGTGACAGGGATACGGCTTGGTCTATATAAAGGCAGGACATCTGTAGGGAACAGTGACAGAGATACGGCTTGGTCTATATAAAGACAATGCATCTGTATGGAAGAGTGACAGGGATACGGCTTGGTCTATATAAAGGCAGGACATCTGTAGGGAACAGTGACAGAGATACGGCTTGGTCTATATAAAGACAATGCATCTGTAGGGAACAGTGACAGGGATACGGCTTGGTGAAAAAATATGTGCCATTATGGTGATGACAATGAATAGTATGTTATTTGTTGTGTGCACACGCGTTTGCTGAAGTCTGTGATAATGTGAAGGAGCACCTGAAACCTTGTGACAACTGGGTAAGAGAATTAGTACCATTAAGGATATGGGTTAGCATCTACAGCCGAACATAGACTTGTGGGGACCCTTTTTGGTGTCGGCAAAACTACACTGTTCGATGGTATCCATGTCTGTAAAGTGCTTAGTGGACATCTCGTGGACGACTACTCTCCTTGTCATGTGAGGGAGGTTTGCCAGAGGTCATCAATGGGTGCGAGGAAAATGGAACTTTCCGAACTGTACTTTATATACGTACGTCGATGTGCATGGGGAGGCTAACAGGTGCTTGCGAACAGGACATCAGACGCATCAACTCGCAGTACTCAGTGGCGCAGTACTCATGATCAGTTCCTTCCGTTAGTCCTGCGAGTCTCAGCGTGTTTGTGGTTCGAATCCCAGAAACGTTTACTTGTCCTCTCCACATCCCTGCTGGTTTCAACCAAGTGGCATTAACCTGAGATCTGCATCACTTTGTCCCTTTCTTCTAACGTCACCCCCTCTGACATGTATATTTGCGTTTCATGTTTCAGTTTTGATCCAGACCCTACTGTCCGCCAATCAGTGTGGTCACTGGTCATCGGTGGGATTATAGACTTCACAGCGATGTTCGGTATCAGCCAGGCCAGTGTCCAGCGCTACTGTGCACTGCCCACACTCCAGAAGGCCAAACTGTAAGTTGCAATGGAACACAGCTGGTATCTGGTTGATAACATGGGGTGGGTGGGTTTTAGGATGTGGGTATGTTTATCTCCAGTCAACACGCACTCGGCGATATAAAACAACAGACAGCATGTGACTTCATATCACTGTACAGGGGCTGAGGTCGGCGATACAAAACAACAGACAGCATGTGACTTCATATCACTGTACAGGGGCTGAACTCGGTGATATAAAACAACAGACAGCATGTGACTTCATATCACTGTACAGGGGCTGAGCTCGGCGATATAAAACAACAGACAGCATGTGACTTCATATCACTGTACAGGGGCTGAGCTCGGCGATATAAAACAACAGACAGCATGTGACTTCATATCACTGTACAGGGGCTGAGGTCGGCGATATAAAACAACAGACAGCATGTGACTTCATATCACTGTACAGGGGCTGAGCTCGGCGATATAAAACAACAGACAGCATGTGTCTTCATATCACTGTACAGGGGCTGAGGTCGGCGATATAAAACAACAGACAGCATGTGTCTTCATATCACTGTACAGGGGCTGAGGTCGGCGATATAAAACAACAGACAGCATGTGTCTTCATATCACTGTACAGGGGCTGAGGTCGGCGATATAAAACAACAGACAGCATGTGTCTTCATATCACTGTACAGGGGCTGAGGTCGGCGATATAAAACAACAGACAGCATGTGTCTTCATATCACTGTACAAAGGCTGAGCTGCCCCTTTCACAGAAAGCTATAGCCTGACCCACGACCCCGATATACATTCATCTGTGTTTGTCATTTATAATGTAATATGTTTGTCCGTTGTGGTACTTTTTTTTACCACCGATTCAAAACCCTTTATTGCAGGACGGTGATGCTGAACGTAATCGGTATCTCTCTTCTAATGACTATCGTGTGTCTGGCGGGAGTCATAATGTTCGCCTATTACGCTAAAAAAGGATGTGATCCACTGTCTGCGAATGACATCAGTAACTCAAACCAAGTAAGAACGGGCATTATTCATTGCGTGGAGTAACTTTAGAAATGTTTTATCTGGCTAAAAATAGAGCCCCATGAGTTTGACAATAGCACCATACATATCGTCGCGTCAAAGATTATTGCACTTATATAGCGACGTGCATGTACGAGTATGTGTTTGTGTGGCTGCTTGTACTAGTCCGGACTGATGCCGATTTATAGTGCTAGCACACTGAGATACCATGCCGCAGTTTAACATGAATACCCCACTCAGACACAGTATACTGACTCCGAGCCGACCAGTCCTTGTTTTAGCCCCTTAATGCCGAGCGCCAGACAGGGTAACAACAAGTACCATCTTTTAGCGTCTTTTGGTATGACGCGGCCGGGGATCGAACCCCGGACCTTCCGCTCTCCGGGCGGACGCTCTACCACAGGACCACGGAGGCGGTCAGCACCATACAGAAGGAGTACATGCACATGTCTGTATAGGTGGACACTGTACTGGAAGATAGCCGTGTGTTTCCTTTGGTCCTGACTTCACTGCGTACCACAATAGAATATCTATGTTATTCTTGGACTGTAGCCTAGTGGTTCAAGAATTCAAGGCTGATTCTGATGTCCCCAAACGTGATGTGTTTGAAATATTGCTGAAACGGTGTAAAACATACACACTCACTTACTCACTCACCCACTCACTCTTTTCATTCCAGCTGATACCCTACTTCGTGATGGAGGTGCTCGGATATCCCGGTCTCCCAGGATTGTTCATCTCATGTCTCTTTAGTGGAGCACTCAGGTAGGTACTGTTCTCATTGGTGGAGCACTCAGGTAGGTAGTGTTCAGTATAGTGCAGCACTCAGGTAGGACCTGTGCAGTATAGTGGAGCACTCAGGTAGGACCTGTTCAGTATAGTGGAGCACTAAGGTAGGTAGTGTTCAGTATAGTGCAGCACTCAGGTAGGAATTGTTCAGTATAGTGGAGCACTCAGGTAGGTAGTGTTCAGTATAGCGGAGCACTCAGGTAGGAATTGTTCAGTATAGTGGAGCACTCAGGTAGGTAGTGTTCAGTATAGTGCAGCACTCAGGTAGGACCTGTGCAGTATAGTGGAGCACTCAGGTAGGACCTGTTCAGTATAGTGGAACACTAAGGTAGGAAGTGTTCAGTATAGTGGAGCACTCGGGTAGGACCTGATCAGTATAGTGGAGCACTCAGGTAGGACCTGTTCAGTATAGTGCAGCACTCAGGTAGGAATTGTTCAGTATAGTGGAGCACTCAGGTAGGACCTGTTCAGTATAGTGGAGCACTCGGGTAGGACCTGTTCAGTATAGTGCAGCACTCAGGTAGGAATTGTTCAGTATAGTGGAGCACTCAGGTAGGACCTGTTCAGTATAGTGGAGCAGTCAGGTAGGTAGCGTTCAGTTTAGTGGAGCACTCAGGTAGGAAGTGTTCAGTATAGTGGAGCACTCGGGTAGGACCTGTTCAGTTCTGTGGAACACACAGGTAGAAACTGCTCAGTATAGTGTAGCACTCAGGTATGAACTGGTCAGTTCTGTGGAACAATTAGCTATGGACCGATCCATCCAACTAGAGGATGCACGTTTCAGATTAGTGAAGATACAGGTAGAGATTCCGTAAGGGAAAACTCCGAAAGACCTATCCAAGGTTGAATATAAACCTCTCGGATGTGTAATTATAGCGAGTGTAACTTTTCAGTGTTTATGTCATGGTGTCTTCTTATATAGCCTTACCCACAAACATCACCATCTATAAATAAGCAATCGTACAACTTCTTGCAGCACGATGTCCTCCTGTCTGAACGCCCTGGCCGCTGTGTGCTGGGAGGACTTCCTGAAGCCTGTCCTCGGGGAAAGACTGAGCGAGGGACAGAAAACACTCGTCGTTAAACTATTGGGCGAGCAATTCTTAATTATTCAAATAATCATAACAACAGAGGTAAGATGCCTTCATATCCACATCCATACGCACAACACAAAAGAGAACATCCTCTGCCCAGTAATGTTATTTTGGTGGAGATCGTGTGTTTTCAATGTAGAGCGCGGTAACCCAAGAATAAAGCGCAGTGTAGTCAGTTAACTCCATTGCCTCGTGAAGATGGTCAAAAGCGGGCACTGTGTGTGTTTGTCGCAAAAGGACGCATTCCGCATTATTCAAGCTATATGACGGAGGCCTATAAGTAATCGAGTCTGGACTAGACGATCCAGTGACTGATATTGCGAGCAACGATTCATTCCATCGGGTTTGGATGACAAGCAATCAAGCAGGTCACCTAGCCTGACTGTCCGATCCATTTGATCACCCCTAACGACCAGCCAGAATCCCAGCAGAGAAAGAGGCTACTCATGAGTGTGGTCAGGGTCTTGTTCTTTGCTGACTGCATGTCGTCGTCAACCGACGTTATTGGTCGATGCTCATGTTTTGAGTCACCGGTTTGTCAAAATTCATTTATTTAATCTTGACAACAAAACTAAACAATAATTTCACTTTGCAGTTCTGTTCTTCGGTTGCGCTGGTATCGGGATGTCTTTTATGGCAATGAATTTAGGAGGAACAGTTTTACAGGTGAGATGAAGCCTTTTATTAAACAGCGTTACTGGATCTTGATGAGTTGATAAGTTCGCCATATTGAGTGGGCAAAAACATTCGGTAACTTGCGTACAGAATTGTGATTGCGAACATAGTTTCAGCTGATGAGTTTTTCAAGATGTCTGGTGATCAAAGGTTGTGATAACCCGCTTGTGATGTGTTATCTTTAAGGCATCCATGAGCTTCATTGGGGCTGCCTCGGGACCTCTGCTGGGGATGTTTTCTCTTGGCGCCTTCTTCCCATGGGCCAACTGGATTGTAAGTTCAAAGTCAAATATAGCTGACACCTTCCGATGTAGTCGTTATCGATAATGTATGTGGTCCATTTCATTTAAGGGATATGTCAAAATGCAGGTGTGTTACAGGTGTGAAATTTACTCTCTCTTGCAAAGACATTGTTCTGTTTTCAGTGCATAAGTTGTCATGGTTTCCAAATATCAGAGTGTTTTCTTACATCATGGTCGCTTACCTCAATTATAGCTATACTATTTGTAGTGTACATAGTTGCATCTACCATTTTTATTACAACCGGAGTCGAGGTGAACCCTAATTAGTTTGTCACGCCGAATGCCCGGGTTCAATGCTACACATGGGTACATTGTGTGAATACCAATTCCAGAAACCCCCGCTTTGATAATGATGGAATGTTTCTTTAAGCGGTAGAAATACATACTCACTCAATTATTCTGAGCCTGTATCAGACCATATGTCTTGTAGGGAGCAGTGGTCGGCGGTTTTCTAGGGTTGGCGTTTCCCTTGTGGATCAGCATAGGAGCCTACACGGTTGTGGGAGCCCCACCTGGCCTTGAGTTCCCCACATACAACTGCAGCGTCCCCAACATCACCGACTCCATGACAACAACAATGTCCTCACTCATGACAACAGCTGGAGGGACTGTCGAGTAGTGAGTGGGTTAGCGTTTGCAAATGTAGAGGAGTTAATGTCAGTGAGTGGGTTAGCCTTTGCAAGTGTAGAGGAGTTAATGTCAGTGAGTGGGTTAGCTTTTGCAAGTGTAGAGGAGTTAATGTCAGTGAGGGGGTTAGCGTGTACACGTGTAGAGGAGTTAATGTCAGTGAGTGGGTTAGCGTGTACACGTGCAGTGGAGTTAATGTCAGTGAGGGGGTTAGCGTGTACACGTGTAGAGGAGTTAATGTCAGTGAGTGGGTTAGCATGTACACGTGTAGTGGTGTTAATGTCAGTGAGTGGGTTAGCGTGTACACGTGTAATGGAGTTAATGTCATTGAGTGGGTTAGCGTGTACACGTGTAGTGGAGTTAATGTCAGTGAGTGGGTTAGCGTGTACATGTGTAATGGAGTTAATGTCAGTGAGTGGGTTAGCGTGTACATGTGTAGTGGAGTTAATGTCAGTGAGTGGGTGAGCGTGTACATGTGTAATGGAGTAAATGTCAGTGAGTGGGTTAGCATGTACACGTGTAGTGGAAGTAATGGCAGTGAGTGGGTTAGCGTGTACACGTGTAGTGGAGTTAATGTCAGTGAGTGGGTTAGCCAGTACACGTGTAGTGGTGTTAATGTCAGTGAGTGGGTTAGCGTGTACACGTGCACGTGTAGTGGTGTTAATGTCAGTGAGTGGGTTAGCGTGTACATGTGTAGTGGTGTTAATGTCAGTGAGTGGGTTAGCGTGTACATGTGTAGTGGTGTTAATGTCAGTGAGTGGGTTAGCGTGTACATGTGTAGTGGTGTTAATGTCAGTGAGTGGGTTAGCGTGTACAAGTGTAGTGGTGTTAATGTCAGTGAGTGGGTTAGCGTGTACACGTGTAGTGGTGTTAATGTCAGTGAGTGGGTTAGCGTTTACACGTGTAGTGGAAGTAATGTCAGTGAGTGGGTTAGCGTGTACACGTGTAGTAGAGTTAATGTCAGTGAGTGGGTTAGCGTGTACACGTGTAGTGGTGTTAATGTCAGTGAGTGGGTTAGCGTTTGCACGTGTAGTGGAGTTAATGTCAGTGAGTGGGTTAGCGTTTGCACGTGTAGTGGAGTTAATGTCAGTGAGGGGGTTAGCGTGTACATGTGTAGCGGTGTTAATGTCAGTGAGTGGGTTAGCGTGTACATGTGTAGTGGAGTTAATGTCAGTGAGTGGGTTAGCGTGTACATGTGTAATGGAGTTAATGTCAGTGAGTGGGTTAGCGTGTACATGTGTAGTGGAGTTAATGTCAGTGAGTGGGTGAGCGTGTACATGTGTAATGGAGTAAATGTCAGTGAGTGGGTTAGCATGTACACGTGTAGTGGAAGTAATGGCAGTGAGTGGGTTAGCGTGTACACGTGTAGTGGAGTTAATGTCAGTGAGTGGGTTAGCCAGTACACGTGTAGTGGTGTTAATGTCAGTGAGTGGGTTAGCGTGTACACGTGCACGTGTAGTGGTGTTAATGTCAGTGAGTGGGTTAGCGTGTACATGTGTAGTGGTGTTAATGTCAGTGAGTGGGTTAGCGTGTACATGTGTAGTGGTGTTAATGTCAGTGAGTGGGTTAGCGTGTACACGTGTAGTGGTGTTAATGTCAGTGAGTGGGTTAGCGTGTACAAGTGTAGTGGTGTTAATGTCAGTGAGTGGGTTAGCGTGCACACGTGTAGTGGTGTTAATGTCAGTGAGTGGGTTAGCGTTTACACGTGTAGTGGAAGTAATGTCAGTGAGTGGGTTAGCGTGTACACGTGTAGTAGAGTTAATGTCAGTGAGTGGGTTAGGGTGTACACGTGTAGTGGTGTTAATGTCAGTGAGTGGGTTAGCGTGTACAAGTGTAGTGGTGTTAATGTCAGTGAGTGGGTTAGCGTGTACACGTGTAGTGGTGTTAATGTCAGTGAGTGGGTTAGCGTTTACACGTGTAGTGGAAGTAATGTCAGTGAGTGGGTTAGCGTGTACACGTGTAGTAGAGTTAATGTCAGTGAGTGGGTTAGCGTGTACACGTGTAGTGGTGTTAATGTCAGTGAGTGGGTTAGCGTTTGCACGTGTAGTGGAGTTAATGTCAGTGAGTGGGTTAGCGTTTGCACGTGTAGTGGAGTTAATGTCAGTGAGGGGGTTAGCGTGTACATGTGTAGCGGTGTTAATGTCAGTGAGTGGGTTAGCATGTACATGTGTAGTGGAGTTAATGTCAGTGAATGGGTTAGCGTGTACATGTGTAGTGGAGTTAATGTCAGTGAGTGGGTTAGCGTGTACATGTGTAATGGAGTAAATGTCAGTGAGTGGGTTAGCATGTACACGTGTAGTGGAAGTAATGGAAGTGAGAGGGTTAGCGTGTACACGTGTAGTGGAGTTAATGTCAGTGAGTGGGTTAGCCAGTACACGTGTAGTGGTGTTAATGTCAGTGAGTGGGTTAGCTTGTACATGTGTAGTGGTGTTAATGTCAGTGAGTGGGTTAGCGTGTACATGTGTAGTGGTGTTAATGTCAGTGAGTGGGTTAGCGTGTACACGTGTAGTGGTGTTAACGTCAGTGAGTGGGTTAGCGTGTACACGTGTAATGGAGTTAATGTCAGTGATCGGGTTAGCGTGTACACGTGTAGTGGTATCAATGTCAGTGAGTGGGTTAGCGTGTACATGTGTAATGGAGTAAATGTCAGTGAGTGGGTTAGGATGTACACGTGTAGTGGTGTTAATGTCAGTGAGTGGGTTAGCGTGTACACGTGTAGTGGTGTTAATGTCAGTGAGTGGGTTAGCATGTACACGTGTAATGGAGTTAATGTCAGTGATCGGGTTAGCGTGTACACGTGTAGTGGTATCAATGTCAGTGAGTTGGTTAGCGTGTACACATGTAGTGGTGTTAATGTCAGTGAGTGGGTTAGCGTGTACACGTGTAGTGGTATCAATGTCAGTGAGTGGGTTAGCGTGTAGATGTGTAGTGGTATCAATGTCAGTGAGTTGGTTAGCGTGTACACGTGTAGTGGTATCAATGTCAGTGAGTTGGTTAGCGTGTACACATTTAGTGGTGTTAATGTCAGTGAGTGGGTTAGCGTGTACACGTGTAGTTGTATCAATGTCAGTAAGTGGGTTAGCATGTAGATGTGTAGTGGTATCAATGTCAGTGAGTGGGTTAGCGTGTACACGTGTAGTGGTATCAATGTCAGTGAGTGGTTTAGCGTGTAGATGTGTAGTGGTATCAATGTCAGTGAGTGGGTTAGCATGTAGATGTGTAGTGGTATCAATGTCAGTGAGTGGTTTAGCGTGTAGATGTGTAGTGGTGTCAATGTCAGTGAGTGGGTTAGCATGTAGATGTGTAGTGGTATCAATGTCAGTGAGTGGTTAAGCGTGTAGATGTGTAGTGGTATCAATGTCAGTGAGTGGGTTAGCATGTAGATGTGTAGTGGTATCAATGTCAGTGAGTGGTTTAGCGTGTAGATGTGTAGTGGTGTCAATGTCAGTGAGTGGGTTAGCGTGTACACGTGCAGTGGTGTTAATGTCAGTGAGGTGGTTAGCGTGTACACGTGTAGAGGAGTCAATGTCAGTGAGTGGGTTAGCGTGTACACGTGTAGTGGTGTTAATGTCAGTGAGGGGGTTAGCGTGTACACGTGTAGTGGAGTTAATGTCAGCACAGCTATGTCCGAAGAACAAAGATAAACTATAATGTAGTTGTTTAGATTTGAATCTACCACTTTCACTCCTTGGCCAGTCATAGCAAGTGAGTGAGTGAGTTTGGTTTGAAACCTCTTTAGTGTGGAAGAAAAACCTGAAGTTTAACGGCTTTAACGGGAAAGTGTAGACGTACAACAATGAGCAAATGAGTTATGGTGCTGAGAAAGATTTAAACCCATGCTCATAGATTTTTCTTGGGGCCACCCATTACCCTTTACGCTGCCCCATCACTGGTATCTCCGCTCTGTTAGCAGGGTCCTCTCATCCTAGTCTCAACCGACCCGTGAAAATCCGGGGTAGATGAAGTCTTCAGCAATCCATGCTTGCCGTAAAAGGCGACTATGCTTGTCGTAAAAGGCGATTAACGGGATCGTGGTCAGGCTCGCTGACTTGGTTGATGCATGCCATCGATCCTAATTGTGTGGATCGAAGCTCATAATATTAATCACTGGATTGTCTGGCCCAGACTCGATTATTTACAGACCGCCGTTATATAGCTGGAATATTGCTGAGTGCGGCGTTAAACAAGAAACCAACCATCTGTCATGTTTCAGTACTGGTGTCTCCGTCCTGTACACAGTGTCCTCTCTACCTCATCTCTACTCTATCATGTTTCAGTACTGGTGTCTCCGCCCTCTACACAGTGTCCTCTCTACCTCATATCTACTCTATCATGTTTCAGTACTGGTGTCTCCGCCCTGTACACAGTGTCCTCTCTACCTCATCTCTACTCTATCATGTTTCAGTACTGGTGTCTCCGCTATGTACACAGTGTCCTCTCTACCTCATCTCTACTCTATCATGTTTCAGTACTGGTGTCTCCGCCCTGTACACAGTGTCCTCTCTACCTCATCTCTACTCTGTCATGTTTCAGTACTGGTGTCTCCGCCCTGTACACAGTGTCCTCTCTACCTCATCTCTACTCTATCATGTTTCAGTGCTGGTGTCTCCGTCCTGTACACAGTGTCCTCTCTACCTCACCTCTACTCTATCATGTTTCAGTACTGGTATCTCCGCTCTGTACACAGTGTCCTCTCTACCTCATCTCTACTCTATCATGTTTCAGTGCTGGTGTCTCCGCCCTGTACACAGTGTCCTCTCTACCTCACCTCTACTCTATCATGTTTCAGAACTGGTATCTCCGCTCTGTACACAGTGTCCTCTCTACCTCATCTCTACTCTATCATGTTTCAGTGCTGGTGTCTCCGCCCTGTACACAGTGTCCTCTCTACCTCATCTCTACTCTATCATGTTTCAGTACTGGTATCTCCGCTCTGTACACAGTGTCATATTTGTGGTACCCGGCTATTGGAGCATCGACGGTGATCGTTGTTGGTCTCATTGTAAGCGCTATAACAGGTCAGTTTCCATGTTTGTATTTGCAGGTACCTCATTCCTTGGTTCAGGTCTTCGATCTGTCTCACTATGGTTATAAACATTCGGGGACGTCAACCTATTGTTTTAAGGCGACTCCCTTTCATAGAATAACCTTTTAGTAGGAACCTTCTTCTCTCCGGACGGACGCTATACCACTAGACCACGGAGACGGTCAGTTTGCATTTGAACACAGTCAATACATTACACTGCTACTTTAAGGAAATGCTGTAAAAATTAACAAGAAATGATTTTAAGTGGGAACGAACCTGCAATGAGAGACGTTGACAAATCACGATGCTTTCCAGAATCCCTTTTAAAAGTACATGTACACGAGCAAGTGATATATTACGTCCGTTTCCTTAGGTTCATGGCAGTGCGTTGGAAACATAACATTGTTGATAAATGTTGGTTCAGATGTTTCTTTAGCTTCAGGAAAAGGGAAAAAACTCTTCATCGGTCTTTACTGAAAATGTAAGACCGTGGATTCGGGATATTGGGTGGGGACCTGGGGATTCTCAGTCAAGACCTCGGAGTTGGTTTATATGTCGTTTTAAGTGGAAAGCCCTCTGTCTGGAGAGCTGAAGGACAGTGGTTTGCTCGTCCCGGCCGCGTCACACCACGAGGAGTTGTTACCCTGCATGGTGCACAGATACAAGGACATAAAACAAGGACTGGTGGGCTCGGAGTCAGTATAACGTGTCTTAAATGGCAGCATGGATGTGCGAGCATTAATAACGGCATACGTTGGGACAATTTCAATCACTTGTCCTCAGTCAAAGCGGCGTTAAACCCAAATCACTTGTTTAGTTTGTATATTTGTTGTCGTTTAACGCCGCACTAATTTATATGCAGGCTACATGACGACGATCTGTAAATAATCTACGCAATTGCAAATCGATAACATGCATCATCGATGTCCGCGAGCCTGGCCACCCGATCCCGTCAGTCGCCGCTTATGACAAACATAGTCACCTCTCACGACAAGAATGGGTTGCTGAAGACCTATTCTACCCCGAGTCCTCACTCACTTGTCCTTGCACTTACACTTACCCTTAAGATGTCACTTTCACTTTCACATTCACTTACCCTTAAGATGTCACTTTCACTTTCACATTCACTTACCCTTAAGATGTCACTTTCACTTTCACATTCACTTACCCTTAAGATGTCACTTTCACTTTCACATTCACTTACCCTTAAGATGTCACTTTCACTTTCACATTCACTTACCCTTAAGATGTCACTTTCACTTTCACATTCACTTACCCTTAAGATGTCACTTTCACTTTCACATTCACTTACCCTTAAGCTAAGACTTACACTGACACTTTGTTAAACAGTTGTCGATTTCACCAAGATCAATTCACTCGTTCCCTTTACTCGCAGGTATGAATCGACTGGGTGATGTGGACACAAAGTATCTGATACCTTTCTTCGACCGACTCTTCTCCTGCCTTCCCGCTCCCATCAGCAGGTTTCTCCGCTGTAACCAGGAGTTCAGAGACCCGGAGGTAGGTGTCACCGCTGTAACCAGGAGTTCAGAGACCCGGGGGTAGGTGTCTCCACTGTAACCAGGAGTTCAGAGACACAGACCTAGGTGTCTCCACTATAACCAGGAGTTCAGAGACACAGACCTAGGTGTCTCCACTATAACCAGGAGTTCAGAGGCCCGGATGTAGGTGTCTCCGCTGTAACCAGGAGTTCAGAGACCCAGAGGTAGGTGTCTCCCCTGTAACCAGGAGTTTAGAGACCCGGAGGTAGGTGTCTCCGCTGTAACCAGGAGTTCAGAGACCCGGATGTAGGTGTCTCCGCTGTAACCAGGAGTTCAGAGACCCGGAGGCAGGTGTCTCCCCTGTAACCAGGAGTTCAGAGACCCGGAGGTAGGTGTCTCCCCTGTAACCAGGAGTTCAGAGACCCGGAGGTAGGTGTCTCCACTGTAACCAGGAGTTCAGAGACCCGGAGGTAGGTGTTTCCCCTGTAACCAGGAGTTCAGAGACCTGGAGGTAGGTGTCTTCGCTGTAACCAGGAGTTCAGAGACACAGACCTAGGTGTCTCCACTGTAACCAGGAGTTCAGAGACCCGGATGTAGGTGTCTCCGCTGTAACCAGGAGTTCAGAGACCCAGAGGTTGGTGTCTCCGCTGTAACCAGGAGTTCAGAGACACAGACCTAGGTGTCTCCACTATAACCAGGAGTTCAGAGACCCGGATGTAGGTGTCTCCGCTGTAACCAGGAGTTCAGAGACCCAGAGGTAGGTGTCTCCCCTGTAACCAGGAGTTCAGAGACCCGGAGGTAGGTGTCTCTGCTGTAACCAGGAGTTCAGAGACCCGGAGGCAGGTGTCTCCCCTGTAACCAGGAGTTCAGAGACCCGGAGGCAGGTGTCTCCCCTGTAACCAGGAGTTCAGAGACCCGGAGGTAGGTGTCTCCCCTGTAACCAGGAGTTCAGAGACCCGGAGGCAGGTGTCTCCCCTGTAACCAGGAGTTCAGAGACCCGGAGGTAGGTGTCTCCGCTGTAACCAGGAGTTCAGAGACCCAGAGGAAGGTGTCTCCGCTGTAACCAGAAGTTCAGAGACCCGGAGGTAGGTGTCTCCGCTGTAACCAGGAGTTCAGAGACACAGACCTAGGTGTCTCCGCTGTAACCAGGAGTTCAGAGACCCGGAGGTTGGTGTCCCCGCTGTAACCAGGAGTTCAGAGACCCGGAGGTAGGTGTCTCCGCTGTAACCAGGAGTTCAGAGACCCAGAGGTTGGTTTCAGCCTGTCAACTGCTGAGCTGCTAAGGTTGCCTTGTGGAAGGATGCACCTCAACTTTGGGGAGCTAAGGTGGACTTAAGCTAAGGCTGCTGAAGTTGCTTCGTTTTGAGGTAGTTTTGTTGAAGGTCGTCTTGAGGGAAAGGTTATTTTGTTAAACGGATGTAATGAAGCATTTCTGCTTAGGCTACATTGAGCGAATGTTGCCTGATGAAATACGTCCAGATACTCAATGTTGTTTTACTTACAGGAACAGGGTCGAGTTCAGTCGTAACGGCCTGTAATAGTTTGTGACTGTTGGTTGTAATCATTAGAAACAAAACCATTCACTTTCTCACTGTGTGATTTTGTTCCTATCAGGAAATAGCATCTGAAAGGGATGGGGAGATTGTGGTGCAAGCGTCTGGTGATATTGTCAGCAGTTCCAGCAAGGACAGGTTACCCCTGGATGGGATCGACGAGCCATATGTCTGTGTATGTAAAGAGGACAAGGAAATCAAAACCGGATTTAACAACCCAGCTGCCGATGTCTTCAACGACCATAAACAGTAAAACGGTGCATAGTTCTAAATCTTCCTTTCCAAGAGTCACAATGTTATAAAATCTTTCAACGTTTCTCCATGTAAAGTTTAGTTAATGTTTTGTAGAACGAAATACACTGTGGTTAAATTAAATACATTAATATCTTAAAGTTGAAGTTGCCATTGAAGTGTTCACCTTTACATGACAGCTACTTGCAAAAATGTTAATTTCACAGGACCCTGGTCAGATACGTTTTACTATTATACTGTTATAAAATGTTAAGGACCACCCAGGGTCAGATTTACTATAGTACTATTAACGAATCGGGTAGTCCCTAACTTGTCTAGTGGTATATATAAGATGAAATAGTTTTTTTTTATAGAAAAATATATATTGTGGCTAAATTCATTTTTATCTCAATGTTGAAGTTGACATTGAAGCGTTCATTTAAACGTAACAGCTATTTGCTCAAATGTTAAGTGTACTTGTCCCTTGTCAGTTACGTTTTAGTATTTTATAAACTGAACTATTATTAACAGTTTTCATTCATTCATTGCCTATCCTGAATTATGCACGGCTATGAATACAATCAGAAATTGTCATCAGACCTATCATGTCAAGATAGGCTGGAATTCCGGAGATACAGTTTTGCTAGACTAACAAGTCTATGCATAACCCAATCAAAATCGGGTCACGAACTCGACATCCGGTTCATAAAATAACATGGATTTCAGCGTGCAGATATCAACCGACTGCATGATTTGCAAAGCATGTGTCCCGTCAACTGGGCGTCGACAGATATGTTCGAAATCTTGTCATAATATTAATTTAGGTGCTCAAGTGATTTTGTGCATTTAGCGGGTGTAAGACCCATTTATTACAATATATATCTTGATTATAGATAAAAAAAACCTCTTCACTGGGCGCCGCCATTTTGTTTGTAGCAAATGCAAGCGATATGAGCGATGGAATCTTATTGATCAGTAGGAGGGACACAGAAGGGAAATAACTCGTAATATCCACTGGTGGCGCTACGATCCACCCTTGAGATTCCAGCTTTGATCTGCAAGGGTAGGAACTGGATTATAACTGTCAATTAACGCCCTTGACTCGGGAAGATGCTCAGACATGTAGTGTTCACATACGATTTGCTTTCATGGTACATATCTTTTTGAGATTTGAAACCTTTAATGCCAAAACTATTTACTAAAACAACATTATGAGCCACATTGCTATTTCGTATTCTTATTCATTTAGAACAAATATTTTGTCACGCCTTTGATTAAAATATATTTTAAAATTGTTTGCTCTATATGTAAATAGTTTTAACAATATTTTTTTCATCATTCAAAGACATGTATATACCTTACATGAATAAACTGTATATATATTTCTGAAGTCACTTTTTATGAGTGACAATGACAAAGATCAATGTTTGTGTTTCGTTGATTCATGTCAATTTATCATGCAGAGTGAGTGAGTGAGTGAGTGAGTGAGTGAGTGAGTGAGTGAGTGAATGAGTGAGTGAGAGTTATGATTATAATGGAAGCAACATATAGTTCAAGTAACGTGGAAGCTAAATAGCAGGACTATAGTCAACATTACCGAGCTTACACAAGAGGGTATGCTCAAAACGAAAGATACACTATTACCTATTGGGCCACCAATATTTCTTATCCGCAGTCAAATGGCGCGCATACTGCTAACAATAACAACAGACAGACAGACAGACAGACAGACAATACAATTTAAAAAATACAAAATACAAAAACTGTTGTTGACTAATTGTGTAACTTATTGATTGACATTTTAAAGTTTAAAACACTTCACACCTGCTTTTATATTAATGTATGACGTAAACTTCGTAAGCGAATGTTAAATAAACATAGCTCAAGAAAAATTAAGCCGAGCTCTTTGTTTATGAGTGTGCGATGGTAGCAGAATGTTTTATCATATCGGGGCATAATGTTCCACAGCGGCGGGGAATACAGAAAAAAAATAAAAAATTATTTCACGTCGGAATGAGAATCCATGGCGGGCGGGAGATGGGAAGCTCATGAAAACAAAGACAGCCTTATCAGTGCTGCTTGTTCAGGTGAATTCTTTGACTAGCCTTTGCATGTGTTTGTGTCTGTGTATGTGTTTGTGATCGGTGCCAACGGTGGATAATTTGATGTTATAATTACCCATTCAACTAACAACACAACGTGCAAATTCACTGGGTCTGACCAGAGACCTAGGGAGGTAATGATGACGTCACACTCAAATGATGTTCCAGTGTTTTAATACAGTTCACAACAAACTATGTCTTACACATCGGAAAGAAACAGTGGTACAATTCCCAAATTATATATGTCCACATTTGAATCAACACACATGATTTTCAGTTAATCACTCAAAATAATATTCATCTTATTTCAATTCATTTATCATTTTTCAGAGCATGTAATTTGAAGCATCTTTCAACGAATTGTTCACTGGAACTGTTTCACACTCATAAAACACATTGACATGGAAAAAAGACTGAATTGTTGTTTCATATGACAGCAAAGAAAGGGTATTTCAAATTTCATTACAGAGCGTTGCCCTTTTATCATATGCTTGAAGTTCACCTGTGCCAAAATGCAATGAAACTCATTCACAGTGGAATGGCAGAAGTTATGTCCCGTGGATATCTGACAGTACTGATTTTTGCACCCGAATACAAAAATACCCATAATGTAAAAAGGTTTGAGGCTGCCAACAACCCTTTTCTCAGACAGTACAATTAACTTTACGAAATATATACCTACACGTTCTGGAGAAAACTGTGTTTAGTGAAACTAATGTCTTTAGCCGTTGGCATGATGAGCAACTAATATATTCTAAAAGTAAACTTGTCGTGATATTTCTATAGTTCGTTTGCAATTAGGAAGATAATGTGTCCAGTGTATGTATATATATATATATATATATATATATATATATATATATATATATATATATATATATATATATATATATGCCAATAACGAACGTACGGGCTGCTTAACAACATCCTCCGGTGTACGACAAGGTTGTGTTTTAAGTCCGTGGTTGTTCATAGTTTTCATCAATGAACTTGCTATAGAGCTGCAACATAGTTGCCAACATGGGGTATTTGTAACACAAGACATCATGGACATTATGCTCCGTCGCTTTGCTGATGATGTTGTTATTTTTCCACATTCTGTGGTAGCTTGCAAAAACAATTAAGTGTGTTACAAAGTTCCAAATGGAGTCTTGAAGTAAATCTGAATAAAACCAATGTTGTAGAAAAGGTGGTATTGTTGCAAAACATGAAAAGTGGTTTCTTGGTTCGTGATGCTTTGAGTGAAGTCACCTACTATAAATATTTAGGTCTCATGATCTCCTCTAGATTGTCATGGTCTATGGGATGTAAGCAATTAGCTGTTCAGGCGTTGAAAGCCATTATGCCCCTATATAATGATAATTCAGGAAAAATAGTTGTGTGTCTTTTTTTACAGCATGTACCATTTTAAAGGCAAAATTATGCCTATGCTTTTGAATGGTTCTGAAATATTGGGTGCTGAGTAGTAAGCTGCAATTGAAAAAGTTCACACTTCATATTTCAAATGTTTTCTAGGTGTTGGTAAGTTTGCCTTAATCAAGGCAATCCTTGGTGCAACAGGCCGTTGTAATATTTTTTTTAGCCAGCCAATTAAGGGTAATTAAGTATTGGATTAAATTACTTAGAATAATGCCTGATAGATACCCATATCAGTGTTACAAAATGTGAAAGGTACTTGATGATAATGGTAAAAATAATTGGGTTTCAGATGTGAGAAATCTATTATTTGTTAGTGACTTTTCATATGTATGGATTTCCCAAGATGTGGGAGGTTCACAGTTATTTCATTCAAGCAAAGACTAAAGGATATATTTTTGGAAATCGAATATTTTTTTCCTATTTGGTAAAAAAACATAACTTTGCATTAAATCTTATTCAATGTGCCAGGAACTTTCGTTGTTCATTATATGTATGAATTTTCCAAGATGTGGGAGATTCCCAGTTATTTCATTTAAGCAAAGACTTAAGGATATATTTTGTCAACAGTGGAACCAAAGTATTTCTGAATCACTGTACCTTAGCAATTATTACAGCAACGTAAAATCATTGTTACAAATTGAAAAATATTTAACTTGTTTAAGTGATAAAAGTTAGTTGAACATTAGAATTGAATTGCCAAATTTGTATGTTCATGTATGTCGCAGGTCCACAGACGGTGATGTTGTGAGACTCTGTTTGCACAAATTGTTCATCCGGAGAAGTAGAGGATGAGTACCTTGACTTACTTATATATGAAACGTATTCCAATTTTAATTTATACATTTCTCCCAATGTTGCTAGGTATTTTTAAAGACCGTCAGTAAATGAAAGATCTGCTAAACTCTGAAAATCCTGATATCAACCTGGGTAGAATGGTACGAGACAGATAGTATATGACTAACATACGACGGACAGTGTATCTACCATTAACCTTGGTAGAAGGTACAAGATAGATGGTATATGACTAACATACGACGGACAGTGTATCAACCATTAACCTGAGTAGAATGGTACAAGATAGATGGTGTATGACTAACATACGACGGACAGTGTATCAACCATTAACCTGGGTAGAATGGTACAAGATAGATAGTATATGACTAACATACGACGGACAGTGTATCAACCATTAACCTAGGTAGAATGGTACAAGATAGATAGTATATGACTAACATACGACGGACAGTGTATCAACCATTAACCTGGGTAGAATGGTACAAATAGATGGTGTATGACTAACATACGACGGACAGTGTATCAACCATTAACCTGGGTAGAATGGTACAAGATAGATAGTATATGACTAACATACGACGGACAGTGTATCTACCATTAACCTAGGTAGAATGGTACAAGATAGATGGTATATGACTAACATATGACGGACAGTGTATCTACCATAAACCTGGGTAGAATGGTACAAGATAGATAGTATATGACTAACATACGACGGACAGTGTATCTACCATTAACCTGAGTAGAATGGTACAAGATAGATGGTGTATGACTAACATACGACGGACAGTGTATCAACCATTAACCTGGGTAGAATGGTACAAGATAGATAGTATATGACTAACATACGACGGACAGTGTATCAACCATTAACCTGGGTAGAATGGTACAAGATAGATAGTATATGACTAACATACGACGGACAGTGTATCTACCATTAACCTGAGTAGAATGGTACAAGATAGATGGTGTATGACTAACATACGACGGACAATGTATCAACCATTAACCTGGGTAGAATGGTACAATATAGATAGTATATGACTTACATACGACGGACAGTGTATCAACCATTAACCTGGGTAGAATGGTACAAGATAGATAGTATATGACTAACATACGACGGACAGTGTATCAACCATTAACCTGGGTAGAATGGTACAAGATAGATAGTATATGACTAACATACGAAGGACAGTGTATCTACCATTACCCTGGGTAGAATGGTACAAGATAGATATTATATGACTAACATACGACGGACAGTGTATCAACCATTAACCTGGGTCGAATGGTACAAGATAGATGGTATATGACTAACATACGAAGGACAGTGTATCTTCCATTACCCTGGGTAGAATGGTACAAGATAGATATTATATGACTAACATACGACGGACAGTGTATCAACCATTAACCTGGGTCGAATGGTACAAGATAGATGGTATATGACTAACATACGACGGACTGTGTATCTACTATTAACCTGGGTAGAATGGTACAAGATAGATAGTATATGACTAACATACGACGGATAGTGTATCTACCATTACCCTGGGTAGAATGGTACAATATAGATAGTATATGACTAGCATACGACGGACAGTGTATCTACCATTAACCTGGGTAGAATGGTACAAGATGGATGGTATATGACTAACATACGACGGACAGTGTATCTACCATTAACCTGGGTAGAATGGTACAAGATAGATGGTATATGACTAACATACGACGGACTGTGTATCTACTATTAACCTGGGTAGAATGGTACAAGATAGATAGTATATGACTAACATACGACGGATAGTGTATCTACCATTACCCTGGGTAGAATGGTACAATATAGATAGTATATGACTAACATACGACGGACAGTGTATCTACCATTAACCTGGGTAGAATGGTACAAGATGGATGGTATATGACTAACATACGACGGACAGTGTATCTACCATTAACCTGGGTAGAATGGTACAAGATAGATGGTATATGACTAACATATACGAAGATACAGAACCAAAGGGGGACGAGCAATGGATAGGGAGGGTCGTGCAATTCAGT